AATTACTTTAATTACTTTAATTACTTTAATTACTTTAATTACTTTAATTACTTTAATTACTTTAATTACTTTAATTACTTTAATTACTTTAATTAAATTAAATCAATTATTTATAACTTTAATTAAGATTAAATTAATTATTTATAGCTTAAATTAAAATTAATTTAATTATTTACTTTATTAATTTTTAATTAAATTAATTATTTAAACTTATAATTAAAATTAAAACTAAATAATTAAATTATTAACCTTAACTTATATAATTAAATATATTTATTAATTAAAATTATATTTATTTATTTAATTATATATATAAAAAATTATTATAAAATTAAACTATTAATGCATTTCCCATTTAACCTAATTACCTAATTAAGCTGGCCACCCTTTTAACCTATATAAAATCTTATTATTTTAATCTATAATAACTTTACAAATATTAATTATACAATTTAATAATTAATACCTTTAAATCCATTAATTAAAGGGGAATCTAAAGGTATTTTTTACTATTTTTTATAAAATTTATTAAACGAAATATTAAGCAATATATTAATAGGGTGCTAAATAAGAATTAATTTAACGTTTACTTTAGCGTTTAACTTAATAACTCCGCGAATATAAGTTGTATAAACTGATAAAGGATACTATTAAATAGCTCCTTTTATTATGAATCTAATGGTGTATTTTATGATTTTATACGATTAACATTCGTAGAGTTATTAAATTATTACGTAATTAACGCACCGACGTTATTTGTATGGGCTAGGGGGGTGGCCAGCTCAATTGGGTGGCTAGGTCAAGTGGGAGATGCGTTAATAATAAAGTATAATAATAAGTTAATTATAAATATAAAAGGTACCTTTTAATTCGTTCAATACTTTTATATAATTAAAGGAATTATATTTAAAGCTTTTTAAAGGAGTGTGGCGAGCGTACGCTACCGTGGCAGTGCAATCAGCGTGGTCAGTGCGCCTGGTTTGCAAGGCTACTACTCTACGCGCCGCCCCAATCCAACAGGCGGCGACGACAGCGAATACTGGAAACGCATATAAAATAATAAGGTGAAGAAATAAAGGTTGTCCCGCGGGCCACAACCGCGCGTATAAGGCCTTTATCTCAACTAAGGTGGTGGGCACTACCCACACCACGGAAACTACCATACAATTAACAGCCTGGACGGCTAGTCTACAAGGCTAGGAGCCGTCACTGGTCCAGCAGGTTTGGTACTCCGCTGCCATCATGGTTGTCGCTCTCGGTTTCTCATATCTTTAAGGTGGTTTGGCGCGTCTGTAGATAGTATTTCGTTTTTGTTTTTCTTTTGTTTATCTCGTTAGTCTATTATAGCTTTAGGTAGTGTAGTCAAGTCCACAATTTGGTCCGATTTGTTTGGAAGGAACACCTGTATCTTAGTCAGACTCCGTCCTAGGGAAGCCTTCCGTAGGAAGGCTTCTGGCAAATACTCTCTGAATAATCAACAACTTTTCCACTCAAACTGAAGGCCTACCATTGTTCAACGTGGAGGGGATTGGGGGGGATAGAGAAGGGGGGATACGAAGAAAGAAGAACCCAAATAGGGGGGCCGAAAGGGCCCCCCTTGAGGTCCCTAGGGAGAGGGAGGAGGCCTTCCTCTCCTTTTTAAGTAGCCAAGGGATGTAAGAGGTGTGAGAGAGTCCAGGCTTTCTTGTTTTCCCTTTCCCTACCACATAGCTGGATGATGAGCACCAGCTTACACAGGGCTGAGACGCAGCGAGGCAGTGGCTAAAGGATGCATGGGGTTTTTATCCGGCTTTTGCACGGTTTTACTCATGGCTATATAGGTAGAAGGACCGTGCCGCATAGGCGACACAGCGCGCAAATAATAATATAATATACCATTGTTCAACTTGTTTCGTTTTGTTTGGCCTTCGTGAAGTAAGTCGCGCTTTCGCTTTTTCTTATGGAATTTTCTTCCAATACTAACACATAATGACGCTAGGCCTTTATAATAATATTTCAAGCAATAACCTGTATTGTTGTACCCTTTTAGGGTTTGGCGCTTTAAGGCGTGGTATTTCTGAAAACAATTGTTAGATTGTTGCGAACTAATAGAAGGAGTGGCTAACGGCGGTATAAGGGGACCAGCAAGGCTACGAGTAAAGTAGGGTTATAAAGGCTAAAGTTACGTAACAAGCGTAAAGTGTTCGTACAATTGGAGAAGGCGGGTTTAAATAGACCACAAAGGGGAAAGAAAGAATGATGTGACTCAGCCCAGGTTGAATAAATGTACAGGACACGTAATTCACGACACACCAAGGGCAAGTATGACGAGACTTTCTAGAAAATGGTGAATACAAATCCGGTTGAACCATGATGTAACTGCAAATTCCAACTTAAAAACAGCGGACTTGTTATAGGATTTGTTACGATAAACCTTAATCGCCTCGCGTCCGAATATGTAAACAAACACATCCCCCATCCTCTCCATTTCCCCCTTCTTGTTTTCTTCTCCTCCAAGCCTCAGCTTTCTATTGCAATAGACCTGACGTTTTACTTGCTAGTTCAAGTTCCCGCTATCACACCACTCCACACTTTCACTGCGCGTCTGACCAGTGACCAAGACTAAAATGGTATCCAACAAGAACAAGAAGAACTCGAGACAAGGTGCTGAGGAGACCCCTCGAACTTCCGAAGCACCTCGAAGCATCACCACCCCGTCCCCCATCGCCGACCCTAGGCCTCCGACTCCCCGCACTCTCCAACCCAACCGCCAGGTAGTAATACCTAGTGTTTCGCCGATTTCCCCCCCTGACGCTCTTCGACCCAACGCCCGAAAGGCACTGGCACGATCGAGCGTAGATCGACTCCAGCACGCCTACGAGGCCTCGGGCCGAGAGAAGAGAAACTTTTCCCAGCTGAGCTCTATTAGTGCTGAATCGAGAGAACATACGCTGACTAATTCCGGGCAGGATATCGACATCGACGACGAGACTAGCATGAAGCATCAACTTCAAGCTCACGATCAGAAGATCAAGGTGGCGGACTCCGCATGCGAGGCGGCACAAGCGACGATACAGGAGCTTAGGTGAGTTATCCCATTAACCTTGCTCGAGTAATAATGGCTAACCAGTCGAATAGGACATGCTGGCAAGATGGCTCGCTCGAGATGACACGCGGCCAATTTCAAGACGAGATGAAGCGCCAAGACCGAGAGCTTGGCGCTCTATTCGTGGAGAGGGCTCATATGCGTACGTCGAGATTTGAGCTTGCAGCCAGGGAGGTTGATGCGGAGATGTGGAACAAACGTGCCCATGCCGAAGATTGGGCATACATCGACCAATTAGTTTCACGGATCCAGGAGCCTTCGTGGGCCACAGTGACGATGAAGAACCCCCGCGACTCTGGCAAGCAAGAACGCTGGCGGAAAGACGTCATCAAGACCTACGGCGCGAAAAATGACAAGGAAAAGATATGGTGTCCAATATCCCGACAATATCTATCCTCATGGATGACTACTGCTGCTCACATTGTTAGATACAATGTGGGTGAGCCAGCAGCAGTCCATCTGTTTGGGCCTAGCGATAATTCGGACGGACATATCTGGAGTGTCAGGAATGGAATTCCTCTGTGTAAAGAGTATGAACAAATGCTCGATGACGCGAGGATAGCCATTGTGCCTACCACAGACGGCAGTGGTCTTATGGTGGTGATTTTAGATGAGGCCGAACGTGAAGAGGAGTGGGATCCTACAGACCATTTTCCCACCGGGAAGGCCCTTCACGGACGGACTCTCGAATTCCTAACCGATCACCGCCCATCAATGAGGTATCTTTACTTCGCATTTGTGATCAACATTTTGCGACGACAGAGGTTCGAAGTTGATGGGTGGTGGAAAGACCGCCTCGAGTATGCCGATATCCCTTTTTTCCCCACCCCCGGGGAATGGATTCGCGAGACTACGCTACGCAAACTTGCAGTCAGGATAGGACATCTTCCTATCGATGACGCCGGCAAGTTTGCGACTACCACCTGCAGGGGTAGCCAGTTAGAGCATCCATCTTTAGTGGGGGCGAGCGAGGGCAAGGGCAAGGGCAAGGAGACCGACATCGCGACGGATGAGGTGGAGGACGATGCGTTCAGTGACTTGTTGGCACACTCATTGAACATGGATACGATGAAAGCCCCAGAGCCGGACGACTAATACCGGCAGTAAGGCATAAGGTAGTGCCACATATACCCGGTAACTAGCCGGTATCTATCTGACACTGACCGTGAATCTTCTCCTTTATCCTTCTTCCCTTTGAAGTCGGCCGACTATGGGTTGAGATGGTGGCTTGTGTTCAATCATTCGAGTGTGAATTTCTCCTTCTCCTTCACTTCTGTGTCCTGATTACCCTCCTTTCTTGTGTCAAGATCATTGATTCTAGTAATACATTGACTAACGCATAACAAATCATCCCCAATTTAGCCTCGATCTTCGTCAAGTGCGACGGGATTGACAGTCTGTTCGGGTGTGTTTTGCTGTCACGAGCTACCTTGAGATACGAGGCGCTCTAGTCCGAGCAATGGGAAGGGACGGTTGTTGTTATTATTGCTGGAGGTGCTGGGAGAAGGGATGAATATCTGATATCGTTGCTCATATCTGCATTTTTAACATTCTTATGGTCTATCACTAGGGTCGAACTTGTGTAGGCAATGAGGAATGGGGCATTGAGAGACCGGGGGTAGAGATTTGTTATATTAGTTAGTCATTTTGTGAATCAAACCCTAGAGCCGGACTGGTTCCGGCAGTAAGGCTCGATGATCAAAAAGCCTACCCGTCCCGATTACAGGCGTACTGTGACAGACAGCTGGGTCAGTATTGAACGTGCTGTGCTCTAAGATAACTGTGCGCGGGGAAGAAGAGAACTAAAATCGCCCTTAGCACCAGGAGCCGCAATCTCAGCGGCATCAGACGTAGTGCGCGAGAACTTTAGAGTAGTCGTGGTAGGCCTTCAGTTTGAGTGGAAAGTTGTTGATTATTAGAAGTGTATCTGCCAGAAACCTTCCTACGGGAGGCTTCCCTAGGACGGAGTCTAACAGACAGAGTCTGACTAAGATACAGGTGTTCCTTCCAAGTCGTTTGGGTAGCAATTAGTGACATTGGAATCCAATGGTCGATATTTGAGTGTGGACTAGGACTGGTCCTGATCTCGGCTTGAATATCAAGAGTCCCTGCTGCTGAGATATCCAAGCACGGGGCTCCCACAATTAAAAGCGCAAAAATGAAGAGGATCGTGATTTTTTTTAAGTTATAGATAATAGATAGGATTCGTTGCTTTACAAACCGATTGTGCAATCGTTTCATTATTAAACTCGGCGCAGCGACCCCTGTCCCGCAACAAGAAAACAAAACTTAATCGAGGATATCATGGATGGTCGTTCTCTCTTTACCCCACATCCGTCGCCCTTGTCCATGGTTGGGAATAATTATGATGCTGTCTGCCAGGATGACCATAATGCTTTGAGCTGTAATAGTCCTCCTGATTTGTTGGACTATGCAGCCAGCGGCGCGAGGCGTGCGATTGATTGCCGAGAAACAGTTCACGGTAGCGACGCAACTGATTGTATTACCGTATATTACGACAATGCTGTACACGTTAGGGCTAGGTTTGAGTGTCATGACCCTCCACTGCCGCGGAAGCCGACTAGGGAGGTCGTCGCCTGGAAAGACTTACCCAAGAAGCTTCTTGTCATTACACTTGCGAGGCTCAGCGAACCTTTGACACAAACCTCGTTGCAGATATAATAACCCTTTCTATAACCCATCCATAGCCTCTCTCCCTGGCCTGTATTTTCCTTTGCCCTACCGCTGATGTACTCCACCAGGCCTATATGTTTTACCAGTTGCAATGGTGTATGTGTCTCTAATATTTGATTAATTACCTTGTTCCTCGCTCTCACGCATGTCATGGGCGCAAAGGTGGTCTGTTCACCAGGTTTATACTACAAAGCTCATTCGTTTAAAAGAAAAATAAATAAATCTAACTAATTGTTGGTCGAAGTTGACCCGAGCCTTTCCGATGCTGTCATTTCTAGCCAGGCAGGTATCCTGCACGCCAGTTTTACGGCAGCCCAATTTCTGACTGCTATATTATGGGGTCGCGTAGCGGACTCGAAGTTCGCAGGCCGTAAAACCGTCGTCTTGATTGGCCTCCTCTGTACCTGTGCGTCAACAGCTACTCCCCCATACTAATATCTCTTCATACTCAAGCACTTTGTCTAGTGATATCATGCCTAGGCTTTGGATTCTCGAGGAGCTTTTACCGGGCTTTATTCTTTCCATCCCTTGGCGGTATCACAAATGGAAATATCGGTGTCCTGAGGACCATGTTCGTACCTTTTGAACTATCATGGTGATCATATCAGCGCTGACGGCGTTGCCATGCAGGATTAGCGAGATCATCCGCGAGAAGAAGTAAGCGAACATTGCTATCAATCAAGAGGGTAGAGTTTATATAATCCCTTTGCAGATATTAATCTAGGGCTTTCCTGACTTTACCCATGACTTTTAACATTGGTGTCATTGTAGGCCCTATCACAGACCCACAATTTGCTCCGTAATAAAGGGGACATTGGCATGGATAGGGTTAAATCTGCAGTAGGTCCTATACTGGATTTGCAGTAATCAGGTATTGGTAGGTGCTAAGGGCTGTAGTGGCTTATAGTGCGCCACTAGCGCCGTTTTTTCCCATACTATCTATACCTTCCTACACCTACCCCTTTTACTAATTATTAACCTTTAATAACTTTTACGATCCTTTAATTCTATTATTTCTATAACCTTTTATTACTTTTAGTACCCATACGTACCTTTTTATTAACTATCGTGAGTTCTTCATTAATTGTATTACTTATTATAAGTTTTACAGTTTTTTTAACTTTAAAAACTATTCTAAACTTACTTAAAGGTGGTGTAAAAGGTGGTCCCCTATTTATAATAATTGATAACCTCTAAATATTACTTTATAACTATGTAACTACTTATGGCTATAGCTTTATTTAATTTAACGCTTTAAATTATAAGGATAGTACGTTATATTATTATATAGTTTGATATAACTGTTTAGGAACTTTTAAAACTAAGGCTATCGTTAATAAAAAAGCGGTATTTTTAAAAAAAGTTAACTACCCTTAATAGGGAACTTTAACCTCGTTTTAAGTTAGCCCCTATGATTAGATATTTTAACTTTATTAAATGAATAATACCTATAGCTACTTTATAAATAATTCTATCTATAATAATCCTTTTAACCGCTTTTTAAATGAAAAATAAAGATCTTTTATTTATAACCTTTATAATAATAGCATTAAAGCTGGTTAAATATTATATATGCTTAAATTTACCTACTTAAATATCATTATTATATATAAAGATATATTTAATATTATTTACAATTAATGCTAACTTAAACTTAATAGGTTTACTTTAATTGAAGCTTTTATTAATAAAGTTTTTAACTGTAAAAATGAAGGTATTCTAGCTTTTTATATTAATAAAATTCTTTTAAATAAAACCTCTTGCTTTAGCCTTTATTTTTAAACCTATAAGCTTATAATCAAATGTTAGTAATAATAGCTATAAATCCTTAATATTGATTATATATATAGTATTAACCAATTTAACCTTTTGTTAGCTATTATTAGTAGGATTATTTATAATAGCTAAATAATGCCCTTAGCTTTTGCATTATTTACTATAGAAAATAGGAATAGCTTTAATTTTTTTATTATTAACCTTATTAATCTATTTAAAGGGTTAACTATTGAAAACTAACTTTCTTTCCTAACAATCATCCTTACCGATTATTAAAAAGCATTTAAATCTACACTTATTAACTATTTCCTTAACGTTTAATAATAAATTTATATCTTCTATATTAATAAGAATATAATCATAAAAACTTAAAGGAAGTGGGTTAACCTAAGGGTTATTCTAGATAAAGAAGGGGTAATTAATATATCTATTAAAAACCAAGCTTTTCTCTAGTTAAATAACTATTATATAAAGCCTTTTAATTTTGGATTTCTTTTAATAACTATACCTTATACCTATATTAGCCTTCTTTTCTATTAGGCTTATATAATCTACTCTTATATTAAAGTTAAATTTAATAAAGCTTAATTATATATAGCAATTAAATTTAGTTATAATTAACAGGCCTATATCCAATATATCCAACAGGTATATATCTTAAAGAAAAGGGAATAAATTAATTATTACACTTTGCAATATTAAAATTATAATATATAAATTACATCACTTATAAAATCTTTCCATAATGCTATAAAGTCTCTACTTTATTTAAAGGCTAAAACCAACCTGATTACACTAAATAACACCCTTAAGAAGTTTATAATAGCCTAGTATAGGAATATTTATACTATACTCTTATAAGAATATATAAAACTTCGTTAAAAAATAACGGGTTATACTTAGGCTAATAATATTATTACTATATATAGCTGGAAAATGTTTACTTTGCTACGAATTAAATATTAAAAGGCTTAATAATATATTATATAACCGGGACACCCCCCTCCTCCTCCGTTACCACCTTATAACTATACAATTAAAGGGCAATATAAGCTTTTTTACTTTTATAATATTTTAAAGAAGATTAATTTTTATACCCAAAACACTATTATTTTAAATATCAGCTATACCAAAATTAACCCTTTTTAACATCACTGTAACCTTTATAATCTGCCTCATTTAGAGTCTGCCTGCTATAGCGTACAGGATCCCCTTATAATTCCGCACGTTAAAAGACCTTATTCGGCAGTATATACCCTTCAAAATATCCTTAGTTCACCTGCTACACATCGTTCGTATTAACAAAGGGCCTTACAACCAGGTAACTTTAACTTAAATCACTCTAGATCTCTAAGAAAGGAACGATCAAATTAAGAACTACATAAACAGTTACAACAAGAACAAAGGAAAGGAGTTATTAACAAAAGAATGCAAGCGTAAGCCAAGAAACACTAAAAAAGTAACAATAATAACGATAACCCCTTTATAAAAATAATTCCAAGCGGTAACAACACCGTTAAAGCTATCATAATCGTTAATATAAACAATAAAACGGAATTAATACTATCTAAAATTGTTATAGCAGCTTAAGATAAGCTAAAACCTAATATTAACGATATTTTAAGTTAAAGTACTACGGAAGTAAATACCTAAACAAGCAGCTAATTTAAAAACAAAGCTATAATCTTAATCGTAATTAGGTTATATATAATTTATATGTAAAGTTATTTATTCGGAGATTCTCGAACTTAACGAAACGTAAAACTTAGCGATTTTCTTAATGTTATACTTCTAAAATATATAGCTAAAAAAAGGTGGTGGTTAATAACCCACAACAACCTCACACCTTATAACCCCCAATTTTAATATGTTTTTCGATGTATACAGTATACAAATGTCGTAGCTAGCTAAAGTAGGATTGCCAGCAGCTGTATACTGCAGATCCAATGTGGGACCTATTGCAGATTTAACCCTGTCCATTGGCATCGCGTTAGGTCAAAAGTTGAAAACCCTTATCCTGCGAGAAAGAGGCTCCATAGCATATACCCTGCTTCATTTGCGCGACACGAGCATCAGCAGAGTCACTACCATTGGCAATGACTACGAATTCTCACCCCACAACTCGGCCGAGACGGCGTCGAGCAACCCGGACACACGTCGACGATACACGAGGCGATTGCCATTTAGGCAGATATTCACACGCAATGTAACCTTCACCTTCATCTCACATTTCGTCCTGGCAATCCATATTGGCACATTCAATTCACTCTGGTTTGTTTTTCTCTCCACGCCGGTGTATGATCCCGCGAAACCACAGCCTCCAGGATTCCGGCCACGGCTGCCCTTCAGATTTACCGGGGGGCTGGGTCTCTCACCACAAGCAGTAGGATTGGCAATGGCAATTCTGGGCGTGATTGGGATACTGATGCAATTGTTTCTAGAATCCGAGCAGAGCGGGAAGAACGCAAGGCACCCTGGAGCTCGGAACAATGCCTACCTAGCACAGGTGTCTCTATCATGGGGTATAAGCTGAGAAGATGATGATGGTAAGTATAGCATGAAACTGGAAGAACAGCTGCATGTACAGGCCAATAAAAGAGGCGTGACTGTAATCTTAACAGTTTGTTTAAACTCGGTTACCTACCTATTTGCCATGAACTTGGTGACCCCCCCTGTCGTAAATACCCCCTTAGGTACCTAGGTACCTACCAGCTCTGCTACCAGTATCACGTATGGAGGTACTTGGGTATCCGCAAATGTACATAGGTAACCTACATCTGGTAATGCATTATTTGTACTACAGGTCCCTATGTCGGTAGGTAGGTAGGTAGGTATATACAGTAGGTATCTGGTACCCACTCCGTTAGCGCAGGCTTGTACTAAACTTGTAAGGATTCTACCTGCCTACCTTTAATCAGTACCTCTTGAGGCTAGGCAGGTACCCAAGTACTTTACCTCCTGCAGTACCTAAGTACATACCTACTCCTGACTTCGACCTAGACTACCTATTGACACTCACTCCAATTATTACCACCCGAGATCTGATATACCTACGTCTCTTGATGCATCGTCAGCCTCAGCTTGCCCATGCCAACGTTGCATCACCAGAATCTTGACTTGCAGAAAGAGTGGCGACGACGACCTGGAAGCGACCATCAAGAAACGAGAAACGTGCCCACGCCGACTACCGGTACCTCACTACAACTTGACCAACCTGACCACCTGTCCTGGCCCACTCGCATTTGACAAGACGGCTTGGATAGCGGCCGTATCTGGATACTACGCGAGTTAACGTCGCCGTCCTATAATCTCTCTCGCCGTACCAAGGTCACGACCTCGTCTACCTGATTGTTACAAACGATGCACCCAATGCACTGAGCAACGACAGCCACAAGCAGTATAAGCAGTAGAACCAACACTACTGTTGGGCCCTGTCCCTGCCCTCCCTTTCCTCCTCTCTTCCTCGTCTTCTCCAATAGCGACTACACTCAGCACCCACGCATTTCTCCCGGCTAGTATCTGTTCGAAAACAATGCCCCCCATCGACCGCAATGATTCTATCTCGCCCATGACCAAGAGCGCCGGGGATGCTTCTCTATCCTTGGATCAGCTCGACATGTCTACTGCCCCCGCTCGCCGTTCCGTTCCAGTGCGCGACATGCCTGTATCCCCCTCTCAGTTGCTGGAGCTAGCCGAGCGCTTCAGGCTTGAAGGATTACACGACGATCCGGAGCATGAACCTCACGATCCTGCTTCACCCCAGCGTGACCCGACCCCAACCACACCAGAGCGCTTTTCGCCTGTTCAGCTGCCTCTTTCAAGACGACCTCACCCTGTGACCTCCGTACCCGCTCATGATGATGGTGTGCTCGACGAGCCTACGTCACCAGGTCGGCGCAGCGTGCAATTCGCTGGTACCGACACCGTTGTAGAGCCCCCAAGATTACCTCACTCGAGACAGGCCTCGTGGGACGATACCGATATGATGGGCCGATCTCGTGGAGAGAGATGGATGTCAAAGCTGAAGTCCACGCTCGGTAATAGCGGAGTCGTTCAGCCTCCAAAAGCACCGGGCTTTACCGAATCCGGGGCTGCCTCTGCCGGCAGCTCTCCCGTGCTTAATAGGTCTTTTCATATGCCCGATACCCTGAGCGAAGAGCAGGGGAGTGATGCGGATGTGGAAGAGAGCGGGGATGAAACACAGCACAGAGACGCACCCAAGATGAAAAAGAGAAAACGGATGAAGCGGCGCCTTAAACAACTCGACGTTTTCACTGCCCCTAACACTCCCAGACAGCCGGACGAGTTCGGATCCCCTGGTGTTGGTGGTCGTTTTCAGGGTCTCGTGAGACGCTCAACTATGCCTGATACTGCCGAGCACCGAGCTGGTTTATCAGAGGGGGAGGGCCGCGATCAACTAGCAAGAAGGAGGCCTGCTTGGAGACGTGGCAGTTCATGGGTAGGTACTCAACGCAATGGCAATGCCACCACCGAAGACGTCGAGAGCGGCCAAATTCGGACACCAGGTCATCGCCGACGGATCTCTGAGATGTTCGGTGCCGGTGCCGGTGCCGGTCCCGGGGTTGCGACAGGCGTCGCATCCGATGGAGAGGCTCTCAGCGCACCGAGGAGACCTTTCTTGAGCTCTGAGAGAGCCGCAACCTTTGGCGCCCAGAGGTGGAAACAGGTCAAACACACACTCAGGATGTTAGGCAAAAAGAAAACGGACCAATTTGACTTTTACAAGTCGGCCGAGCTCATTTCGGAGCTGCGCGCTGTGACACCCGCCGTTGTGATTCTTGCTAGCATGCTGCAGCGAGACGAACATGGCAATAAGCGCATCCCGGTCCTACTCGAGCAGCTCAAGATACGTGTCACTGATAGCTGTCCTGAGGATAGCACGAGTGAGAGGCATTCTCTGTTCACGATTTCTCTAGAATATGGCAACGGAAGCAGCCGGATGACATGGACCGTTACCCGCAGTATTCGAGAAATTTGGAACATACATTGGAAATATCGACTCTCACTCAAAAATGACCGATCGTTACCAACCACTACAACACAGCGTAATCGGCCTAAGCAACCTGCCTTTCCCAGAAAAGCGTTTCCGTATCTCAGGTCATACCAGAACCGGGACGAGTCTGATGAGGAGGGTGGAGCTCCTGGGGCTAGGGCAGACGACACTGCTGCAGAAGGCACTGCACCTGAAGGAACTGCTGGAGAGGGCACTGCAGCCGAAGGTACGGCGAGTGATTTCGATAGACGGCCCAATACAGGCAGAAAGAGGTCTCGTATGAATAATTTACTCCCACGCCGACAATCTTCTGGCTTAGGAGATGGCCGGGAAGGATCTGGCCTGAACCCCCAAAATGCGGCGGCCATACAGAGGCGATATATTGAAAAACAACGGAAAACCCTCGAAAAATACCTCCAAGACATGATACACTGGCTCATGTTTCGACCGGACAGCAATCGGCTTTGTAAATTTCTGGAGCTATCTGCTCTAGGGGTCCGATTGGCGGCAGAAGGAAATTTTCATGGAAAAGAGTGCTACCTGCATATCCAGTCTACGAAAGGGATTGACTTCAGACGCGTACTAACGCCTCAGAAGGTAATAGCGAGGCATTCCCGTAAATGGTTCCTGGTCCGCCAGAATTACATCGCTGTCGTCGAGTCTCCTGCCACTATGAATATATACGATGTTTACCTGGTCGATCCACTCTTTCGGGTGGAGTCTAAGAAGAGCAAGTTGAAACGTTTTGGCAAGAGAATCAAGGGCAGCACAGAAAAGGAAAAAGGGAATGCTGCAGCCACTTTTACCGACGAAGAGGCACTGGGAGATCACCATACCCTCAAAATTTACACAGCTGAAAGAAAGATCAAACTGTTCTCCCGTAATCAGACCATTTTACGACAATTTGAACAGTCAGTCCTGGATATGTTAAAACAGACCCAGTGGCACGACCCTCATAGATTCGGCAGTTTCGCCCCTGTGAGGAGAAATGCATTTGCTCAGTGGCTGGTTGATGGACGAGACTATATGTGGAATGTGTCGCGTGCTATTAGCATGGCCCAGGATGTCATTTATATTCACGATTGGTGGTTGAGCCCTGAACTTTATATGCGTCGACCAGCATGCATTAGTCAGAAGTGGCGGCTCGATCGCTTGCTTCAGAGAAAGGCCAGGGAAGGGGTCAAGGTCTTTGTCATAGTCTACCGCAATGTGGAACAAGCCATCCCGATAGACTCAGAGTACACCAAGTTTTCCCTGCTTAACCTGCACGACAATATCATGGTACTACGTTCACCAAACCAACTGAAGAAGAACCAGTTCTTCTATGCTCACCATGAAAAACTTTGCATTGTCGACCACGATGTGGCTTTCATTGGTGGCATCGACTTGTGCTTCGGCCGATGGGATAACCCGCAACATCCGATTAACGACGACCGACCTACAGGGATGGAACCCGATAACGATGTACCTCGGGATGGGGAGCACTGCCAGCTTTTCCCTGGTAAGGACTACTCAAATCCTCGAGTACTAGACTTCTTCAAGCTAGACGAGCCCTACGCTGAGATGTATGACCGGAGCAGAGTACCACGAATGCCCTGGCATGATATTGCTATGCAGGTTACTGGACAGCCTGCACGAGACCTTACGCGTCATTTTGTCCAGCGATGGAACTACCTTCGTCGTGAACGAAAGCCTACGCGACCAACGCCGTTCCTACTCCCCCCACCAGATGCCAATGAATCCGACCTTGCTGGTCTAGGCTTGTCTGGTACGTGTGAGGTTCAGATGCTGCGGTCGGCAGGTGATTGGTCACTGGGTTTCCCCAAAGATCTTAGAGAGCACAGCATTCAGACCGCTTATGTCAAACTTATTGAGGAGTCTGAACACTTTGTGTATATGGAAAACCAATTCTTCATCACTAGTACCGAAACCATGAGCACCAAGGTTGTCAATCATATAGGAGATGCCCTTGTTGAGCGCATTCTCAGGGCACACCGAAACGACGAGGAATGGAGATGCTGTATATTGATTCCACTCATGCCTGGTTTCCAGAATACCGTTGACCAAGCCGAGGGGAGTAGCGTAAGACTGATCATGCAGTTTCAGTATCGAAGTATTTGCAGAGGTCCCCATTCTATATTTGGCCGTCTACAGGCTGTAGGCATAAATCCTGAGGACTATATCTCCTTTTTTAGTCTACGGGCGTGGGGTCACATAGGCAAGAAGAATGCGTTGGTTACAGAACAACTCTATATTCACGCCAAGACTATTATCGTGGACGATCGGGTTGCTTTGATCGGATCTGCCAATATCAATGAGCGATCTATGCTAGGCAACCGAGACTCCGAAACGGCCGCCATCGTTCGAGACGCAGATATGATGTGGTCTACAATGGCTGGTGAACCCTATCGCGTAGGACGATTTGCTCACACACTCCGGATGAGGCTCATGCGAGAACATCTTGGCTTAGATGTAGATGCCATTACTGAAGAGGATAGAGGGACAGCTTTCAATGCAGATGCCGAGTTTGAGACTGAGATGAATGATTTGTATGGTGATGATGATCAACATCTCAACGCCGAAATCTCAGCTCATGCTCAGTCCACCAATCACTCTGGACAGCCGAAATTCGGTGCTACTAGAAGCTTCAATCACGATACCCAAGAGCCTGAAAGCGTAAGGCCTTCATCATCCGCATCTTCGTCTTCTTCTCTATCTTCGGGCGCCTCTAGAGGCGAATCTCTTGAACAGGACGTTCGCATCCACCAAAATCCCAATCATGCCAGAGACGTAGAAGGCTTTGGCGCAGACCATTGGAAAGAGGCACAAGAAACGGGACGAGACCTCGGAAGCGACTCGACTGTTCTCAATGGCCGAGAGGTTGTCCTCTATCGATCTGGTCAACCGGCGAGACCTCTGGGCAAGCCTTTGACTGATAGTTCAACAGGCTCTCACGAGGAACAAGGGCCAGGGAAAGGAAATATCGAATTTCCCCCCACCTCTACCCAAGGTCAAAGCCAGCTGCCCACGGGGGCGCAGCTTGTAGCTCTACCAGTATCGGATGATGCAGATATAGGAGGTCCGGCCGTCCGAGTTGACGAATCTGGGCGGCGCAGCTCTGAGTCTTCTAACCCATTACTTACGGATATCACTCCAGCTAAGATTGAGAAGCATTGCATGCGCGATCCTCTCAGTCCCGCATTCTGGGATGACATATGGACGAGGGTAGCAAGGAACAATACTACATTGTACCGCCGTGTTTTTCGATGTATGCCAGACAGCGAAGTGGCTACATGGAAAGACTACCACGAATATGACGAATACGCCCGCAAATTTGCAGATAGCATGTTTGGACAGAGGAGTGGTGATGATGAGACCAAGGCTCAGATGACCGAAGTTAGTGGCGCGGCAGCGAGCATAGCGGTTCCAGTCATTGCATCGGCCGGACCCGGTGTTTTGCAAACACTGCAAGAGAAAGCAAACACAGTACAAGAAGGCAACCAGACAGCCCCCGTGGCCAGTGGAGGTTTAGACGCCTTGTGCGAGAAAATACAATCAGCCGATCTAGATCAGCCGACCCAGGTGAAGCCTGGTGATCCGAACCTTGAAACAGAGAAAGTCGGTACGAAGCAATCTTTAGAGGCGCCGTCTCCTGTTCAAGCCGCCGGAGACGTTCCTTTTCCAACACTTGATGGACAGGGGGGCGTGCATGCTGAGACGCAGAATGATAAGAAACAGGATCGACGTACAACCTTTTCGGCGTCGGAGAAGTCGGCACCCGCGTCAAACATGGAGAGCACGGTATATAATCATAACTCGACGAAGCGCCGCCGACGGGCCACTACTAAGGGGAGTCGACGTGGGCCTGGGCCTATCTTCCCGTATGATGTGCTCAGCCGTGAGGATGCCGAAGAATGCTGTAGCATGATCCAAGGTCACCTTGTTCAGTTCCCCTATGACTGGCTTGAAGCCGAAGAAAAGGATAATCATTGGCTATATCAGGCGGACATGCTGGCGCCAAAGGAAATTTAGTAAGTCCAGTTCTCATACTTCCCGAATGTTTCGGCCGTTGTGTAGATAAATCTGTAACTAATACCTGTATAGCAATTAAACCATCGAACACGTCCCCCTCACAGCTGTCGCAGCCTGCTTGTATAAGCTGTCATGTTGCACGTCACCGAGCCTCGAACACTGTTGTATCTCGCCTTCGACTTCAAACCCTTATATCCCACATCCATTTATTATTTGTGTGAATGATCGGACACCGCCTATAATTTCACCTGGCACTGACAAAAACTGTTGCGGCAAAAAGCATTAGTTAGATTTGCATAATGATGTTGTCCGCTTGCATCGCTTGGGCGTTGGTTACTATCACCATATATAATATCCCATTGCTTCGGTATTTGTCTTCACCTTTAAAAACATATATTTCGTTTTCAGCGCAGCCTTGTTGCTAGGAAGGTTGTTGAATCTTGCTCTGCTCTTGCTACTGTCACGTGCTGAAGCTTTGCTTTGCTGTGTGTTTCGATGGCCTGCTATGCAGCGTTTGAGTAAATAGTATTTTTAGTTAGGTACTACATGGAGATGAATATCTGCCTCGTATATCTTAAATTACTCGGGTGTACTTTTATGATACCTGACCGCGCCGTGTGTAATATTATAGATAAGAATCCTGCTCCACAGTGAAGCTATATTGCACTGCACTAGTATACTCTGTACTCCCTGATCTTCCAGGAGCCAGCCTCTCGCCTGATTTGTTTATTCCATGACCACAAAGGATGTTCAGTCCATTAAACGGAGAAAACGCTCGTGTTGCTTTGTTACAGAATCACCCAGCGCGTCATTGGATATCAGTCACCAACCATGTCTATATTGAGGGTATGAAACTGTGTTGCCGTGGACAACGGACCTTAATTATTTCTCACACCGCAGCCACAAGCATGAAAGGGTAATACATTAAGAGAGTATCGATATATATTTGCACGACGATCAAACAAACAAATAGGGGTCATCCCGGGGTATCATTGTCGGTAGCTTCAGGTTCCCTCTAACGCGCATAAAAACAGATATTAAAGACATGACCCAATTAACCTACCCAAATAGCGCTTTCTATATTCTAGTCAATTTCCATGCCCCGGGTATATATGCTATGTATAGGACCTGCCACAAAAGGAAGTGAGAAAGGAACTAATTATGAGCGGGGACTGTTGAGTAGAGTAGTTCAACGACTCCGCTGGAAATTCCCTGATCTTAACGAATTGGAATGTCTTGCATTTGTAGACGTGTAGGGCGGTCAAATTAATGGTGAGACTTAGAAATTGCACGTCGAGTGACAAGAACAAATATGCCAGGCCGCTTGACTTCTCCCTGGAAACTGTAAAGGATCTCCTTGTGATCAATATCGAAATCTTCCAATAACCTGTCTTCAAAGTTGGGCGCGCATCGGCATATCACAGAGTGCTAGCCGTTGCGCAAGAATGCTCAGATTCGGCCTTAGACAGATTGGCACCCATGTTGAACAATTCTTTCTAGAAATTGCAGTTGTGATGCCCGCTGGCCCGTAAGAGGCCTGATAGGAATGTACGATGGGAATAGAGGAAAGCAATATCCAACAAGAGGGCCTGCTACATGTGACTGTGTGTAACGCTGTATTCTGAGTTCGGCCTGTTGTAATACGTACTATCGGTGTAATTGCCGCTGTCATCATTATTCGCTTAGACCTTCTCTCAATGCTTCAGAGTCTACAACATCTGGTGTTGTTTTGATAGCCGGGGCTTTCTTCTTGGCAGAAGCAGCGAGATACTCGGAAAACCCAGGGATGGAGCCAGGTTGGTTAACACCGGGCGGGCGGCTTGAGGTCTTTGCGGCATCTTTCTCTATCACGGGTTGTGCAGAGACGCTACGTTGTGAGCTGTCGGTACTAGCACTGATCTCGCTGCCTCCCCACAGCCGCCAACCAACCCATTTACCCAGCTTCGATGATTCATCTCGTTGCGGTTGCTGCTGCTGTGAAGACGCATCGGAAGAGTGAGATCGCAGACTACCCACGGGAAACGACCCAAAACTGTCTCGTAAGAGAGCGCTGCTTCTTTTACTGCCGCTTACTGACAACATTGGACGCGCAGTGACAATGCTGCTTCCTGTTACAGACGAGGCAGACCCGAGTTGCCCTATTGTAAGTTGACTAGGTCTTGATCGTAACGTGTGGATATCAAGGCCACCTGATAGTGATACAATGGACTCGTGGGACAAGGTCCGACGAAGGTATCTTGTGTTGGGTGGATAGTCAGAGTCTGTTGTTTCGCTAGGGCTCGGAGGGTAACCGTCATTAGCTGCGCCAAGGCTTCGCAAAGAAGCCTCGTCGTCAGTAACCGAGGTGTCCATCGTTGATATTATCTCTGTTGGAATTTCGGTGCCGTCCGACGACTCTTCTACGATAGGATGTGCGATGGTCGGCGGAGCGGGGCCGAAAGGAAAACATGTCGGCACTTGGAAACTTCGCGCAGACATGCCAGAGACCTGTTTCCTATGTGCAGGTCGCCAATCCGGGGACATCGGGTCGACACTCGACGTGGGCGATTCTGGGAACGACCCAGCTGGTGGATCAAACACGGAGCTTCTGTAATTTGAGCGAGGCGAACTTGGTGTGGACGAAAGCGTTAATTCAGATGGTTGTTCAGAGATTGATGACCAACGGTTTGAACGTATCGAATTCTTCCGGGAATGGGGGGCTGACGAGTGCCTCATCATCAACCCATGTGTTGGAGTGTTTGAATGGCAGAGAGCCGGTGACGGAACAGTACCAGTCGTAAGCCCTAGACGCTTTTTTCTGGCCTTTCTAACTTCTGGTTTGGGTGTTGAGACATGATAATGGTGATGAATATGTAACTCCTGTGACACTTTCGTTGGCGACCTTGGTTCCTGAGCATGCGAATTTTTCACGTCAAGCTCAGCACTCAATGTCGGCATTGTGCTGTCTTCATCATCTGCAAGAGGTTGGTGACACTCCAGCTGATTTCGAAGCGCCTGTATCTCGTCGTTCGAGGTGAGAAGCAATTCCCGGAGCTCAGCAATAGCATACTGCAAATTAGCATTATCCTGGAGCAAATCGCGAACAAAATGGCCAACAACATTGTTCCCTCCGGGATTGATTGACTTGGCAGCAGCAGCACCCTTTAACCGTCCGGCTGCCATATTTAACTCTTTCTCCATGTCGCGCTGTCTTTCGATCCGGTTCATCATCTCGACATGATGTTCCCGTTCTTCTTTTGCCTCTCTCTCTATGCGTTCTAGCTGTTCCTGGAGGTTATTGATACCCCTCTCTGCTCGCTTCCATCTCGATGTTGCCGATCTGGCTTCCTCGCGCGACAAACACAAAGTGCCCTGTAGCTCAGCCTGTTCTTCCTCCAGGGATGCAATCTGTCGCTCCAGAGCCTCTGCGCGGGTAGTATCGGCTTCCAGTCGCCGAATGGTCTGCTGAGACGACAGCAGGGTGGCCTCTAACGATTTTATATGGGCCTCGGAATCAGTGATGGTCGTGTTGAGGGCTTCGAGCTGGTCCACAAGATCCCTGTTCTCTGCAATCATTTTCGAATTCATGGCCTCGAGTGCCTTGTTGTCTCCCTCGAGCTGCTCGATACGAGCAGTCAGTTCATTTCGGTCGCGTTCAGCATCTGCCATATAAGACTCATGACGAGCAAGAAGCGCCTGAAAAATGGATCTCAAACTTAGCGTGTGTTCTCATTGTTCTCTCTGTGCTATACCGTCGGTGCCTGTGAGATTGTAGTGCTGGGGCCAAGGAGCCGAGGAATGTGGATCGATGACAGACAGTCATGAAGCATGCAGAGTCATTTATACGCCGTCTCCAAAGTGGCAGAGGCACAGCAACAGTAGACGTCAGGGAAAGGAGCAGAAAGTGGGGGGGGAGAAGACGGATATAACGTACCTGACCCATGCGGGCGGCTTGGTGAACATCTTTTTCGACGTTGTCGAGAATGGCATTATTGTGTCTCAGAAACACGCACTCGAGAGAGCCACAACAGCACTTCAATGGTGAGGTGCCAAGGGTCGTGGCAAGCTGAGAAGAGATGGCGCCGGACTTGCCGTTGACGGTGGACATGAGCGGCTGGGGATCAGCCATGATGGCAGCAATGGAGGAGCTGAGGTGTGTGGGATGCGCATAGACGAGATTAAATCAACGAGTAGCAGCATGCTGAGATGCGCAAGATTATACTACCGTACCATGTCTCAAGCAGAAAGTAGCAGCAAAGAGGAATTTTGAGGGATATAACCTTGGGGCCCTCAACGAAGAAAAGGCGAATGAATATGTTAAGGGTGACTTGTTAACAGTCGCGGCGGCGGCGACGATATGATGATGATGATGATGATGATGATGATGATGATGATAATAATAATAATACTGATGATAACTATGAGGGTGGGATTGAGACTGGTGACACTGAAGATTGTATCCAAATGCTGCTGCTGCTGCTGCTGTTGTGGTGATGGTTGGTGGTAGTACTGTTACTAGCAATCCGACCAATCTCGGTTAATTTGGATTGTTTACATGACAAAAGTCTTCAGTACACACGCTGTGATGTCGGATAATGAAATCACTTGGACGCTGTCTCAGTCCGGGCTGTCTGTCTGTATCTCCCAGACCCTCTTCCTCAAGATTGAGGCCTTGGGTGGTGAGAAGGAGAATGCTGCTCGTGATGTAAACTATGTCCAGCTCTGCTCGAGGTAGGTAGGGATGCGATGATCAAGGGGTCCTAGGGATCTCGCGTCGTGTACCACACTGTAAGTAATGGGCGGGTTTTTTTTTTTACCTACTGTGCACTGACATATGTACTTACCTACACAGTAGTAGGTAGTTAGGTACATAGGTAAGTAGGTACCTACCTACCTACATACATATGTACTATGTAGGCACCTTGGGTAGTATGTACCTACCTAGGTAGATAGCCGCCTAAGATGGGCTATCTACCCCCAGCACAATTGAAGTCCAAGTTGTCACTACCCACCCCCGACTTGGCCGGCAAGACAATGCTTCACACAGTCTTAGACAACGATCGATCATGGCTGTCCGGCGAGAGAATGGAATGAAATACACCGTAGGCTGGCAATGGTCGAGGCGAGGGGGTATAATGTCAAGAACGAGGAAATGGAAGAAAGGGATACGAGGAGATGGAAAGAGGAGAGAGAGGGGCGACGAAGAGATGGCTTAACCTTTAAGTATCTACATACAGTACCTTCACATCACGTCCAATGTGTGTAGGTAGGTATATGCACAATGCAGCTTTGTTGTCAACTTCCAAGGTTGTCGCGTACCCGGCCATTTGACGTTTATCGAACCTCCTTGTAGACTACCGTAGCACAAGTTTCCTATTTAGCGCCAGGGACAGCTCACACTCGCATCAACTAAAAAGGTAAAAGGTGTTCGCGTTCCCACTCCCAGCCACCCTCCCCTGTCTGCTCTGCCCTTCTTCTTCTTCTTCTGCTGGGGTGAGGGGCCGGAGTTGTCAAACGGGGGTGGCAACGCCTCACAGCATACAGATCCTATGTACGCAGTATCTCTCACCCACACACATACAGATAATAATACAAATAGGTACGTGCTACATTTCATACAGAATGCACCGCCGAGTAAGCGTGATCAAGTCGGTGAAAGTAGGAAGTTGGTCATGGCCGCCGCCATTGGTCACCTGTGCATGTTGTAAGTGTGTTGGCATGCCCAAGTAGAGCCCGCTTTAGTAAATTACTGCCCATATCTTCCTATCTTTCGTTCATTTACCACGTTCCCCTCCCTCAAATCACCTATTCTAAGTTTTGACGACGTTCTCGTTATCAGGCTACTAGTGACACATCTAGAATGTCTAGGCCTTTTTGGAGTTGTTCCTTCGTAGGCATCGCCCCTTCTCTCATCAATTCTGCTGATTTGGTCATAGCCGGGTCCTTGCCCATGCTGGCAACCGCCACGACAGCTGAACCCTTGCAGTAGTAGGCAACAAACTTGCTCTCCGCTGGATTCCCTTGGAGAACGACATCGTCCCACCCGTTCACCGTGTTGCCGCAGTAGCGCAGCTGGCCCGTAAGGGCACTCCAAAACACGGGAGTGAAGAATTGAGGTGTGACAGACGGGTTAATGATGTGCTTCGCCACAGAACGACCTTGGTTTTGTGCTACGTCCCAGTGCTCGATTCTGGTATAGTTGCCCTGCCCACCCGGCCCATTGTAAGGATAGGTTGCGATATCACCGATCGCATAGACGTCCTTGAGCCCCGCGACGAGGAAGTTGTCGTCCGTCTTCAACGACCCGTCCTGTTCAAGCCGGACCACTTTGTTCTCTTTCAAATACTCCGTAGCCGGCGCAACACCAACGCCCAAGATCACTGCAAAGTTGACGTGTTGAAGTCAGTGATTGCCAGAAAACATAAGAAATCGACACGAATTTTGGAAGCAAGCAGGAGCGTTAAAATCGAGAGAGAGAGAGAGAGAACCTTCTGAAGGGAATAAATCAATGACTCAGGGGACTAACCTATATCGGCATCAAGCTTAGTGCCATCCTTCAATGAAACCGACCCGACTTTAGAAGGATTCGATGCCGACGGTTCGGCCTTGTCGACACCAGCTGACATATAAAATTTAACCCCTTTCGCTTCGAACCCTTTTTGTAGACCTGCGCCGACCTCCTTACCTAACACCCTCTCGAGGGGTGCACTTTCCATGCCGATGATGGATACTGTGTTGTCCGCGGCTGTAGCGTTCGCAACCTCCATTCCGATAAAGCTGCTTCCAACAATAACAATGTTCTTGCCCTTCTCTCCAATGGCATCCACAATGCTTTTGGTATCATGCAAAGTTCTTAAGGTGAAGATATTTTCGAGCACCTTGAATCCTTGCAAGGGAAGATTGCGGGGAGTGCCGCCGGTAGCTAGGACAAGTTTTCCGTATATATGCTGCGCGCCGCTCTTTGTCCTGATAGACTTGCGGCTGATGTCGAGATCGGTGACCTAGTGGAGATTTGAATGAGTCGGGTCTGTCTTTTCACGGGTAGAGCAGCTGGACGTAGGTACAAGTACTAGGTCTGAAGACACTTGGACAAGCCATCTTGTGTGCCTAAGCGAAGTTGTGGGTGAGGGGAAAGCGGGAAGGGGGAAGCGGACTAACCTCGTCCTCGACAAAGTCGATGGATGCGGATTTGAAGAACTCGGCATCTCTCCACTGAGCCTTGTTGACATCGGTAAGCAAAGCTTTGGAGAGCTTAGTCCTGTCAATGGGCAGGTAACCCTCTTTAGTTATGACCGTAATGGGACCAGAGAAACCACCAGCTCTTAAACCCTCTACAGTGCCGATGGCTCCGCTACCACCGCCGACGACGATGACTTTGTCAGTTTCAGAAGTGTTGCTCACGCGGCATCTAACGTTAGGTTTTCTTCGCCCGGACTTGATGGCGGCTTCTTCACCTCGCACGTAAACAGCACCATCCTTTTCGACAACACTAAAGGCTGTGAGCGCGTCTAGAGCGGGTGCATCCTCGACGTCGCCGGTTTTGGCATTGAAACAAGCTGTTCCATACAAGTGGTCAGAGGGGTCTTAAGGGAGCAGGACGGGCGTAAGACTCACCTCCGTGCCAAGGGCAGACAAGACGTCCGGACTTGGTCAGGACGCCGTTGACGAGGGGGGCGCCGTAATGTGTGCACTTGGGCCCGACAGCGTGGATTTGATCTCCACCAGCGTTGAGAAGCAGGATCTTGGCTCCATCAAGGCCTTCGACCTCGACCTCCCTCTTCTCGCCAGGCTGCAGGGCCAGCGGCGACGACACGTTCTTGAGCTTATACTCAGACATGGCTCTGCTAAAAGAAGCGGAAGCGATAGCAGGTGGGCTTAGGTGAACTGGGGGATTTGTCAAGCAAGACCTGGCGTGTACCAGAGACCGGGGCACTCTGAGGCTTAAAATGGAGGATAGGAGTCCTCTGGCGGGATTCATAGGCTGATAGAACGATGGCGCTCTGGGCAATTAAAGGAGAGGTCTTTACGAACGCGGATTGCAAACTCGGAGCAATTTGTAAGAAAGACAGCTGATGACCAATGACGGATACAGACAGTACAAAAGCTGATGAGGGGTAGGAAGAGCCGGCAAACGGTTGCAAAGAAACGAAACACTGCGACAGGCTTGATGAGAGATGATGGTGGGATGGTATAATATCTTAGGTACCTACATGTACTTGAGTTGCGGGGGAGGGCAGTTGATAGACCCACATCATGGTATACGGCAGGTACATTGCGACACATGATGGCGAGGATGGGTTGCGTGCTCGTGCCGTGCTCGTGTAGCGATGATTGTGTGAGGCCGCTTGGACACGAATGCGTGCCTGTTCTTGCAGTCGAAACACCAACCAGTGCTCTCATCTCTCATCGACTAGGTAGCTAAGTCCAAGCAGTGTCCAAGCTTCCAAGCTTGTAATCCGAAGCTCGTGAGTGGTTGAAGCTGTGTCGTGGGTCGGCTCCATGACATCAGTGATTTGCCTAAAACGGAAACATAACGGAACCAGGACATTCAATCCTGTCTAGCGGCCAAATACATTTATTAGGTACTGTACTTACATACCTACTACTTCGTATGTATACCTAGGTACCCAAAATACATACATATGCGTACTTATGTAGGTATACGCAATGCTGGAGGATTGAACGCCTGCAAAAGATCATTGTCTTAGGATGTAGGTATGTATGCCCATGTCTGCCCATGGACTCTAGCAAGGTCGATACCTCATTTGGAAACGGATAATTGTACGTGACAGAGCAATCTTGGATATGTCTCTGATAGTTCTGTTGGGTCGCAAGTCTTCAAGTAGAGATCGTTTCTCTAAGACATCGGGTATGGTATACAGCTTCACCTTTACACTTTGATGGCCAAATCATCATGACGTGTAAGCACCAAAGCCCCGAGCCAGATAGCCGTGAATTAGACAATACTTTATTGAAATATAATGGACCCCACCCCCCACGAGTAGCTTCAAGCTTGGGTATACTAGTATAGGTCGCGATTACCCACAGGACGCCGGTCAGAGATCTGCCAGGTTGAGCCGTCAGCTAAGGGTGACACATTTAGTATCCTCTTTCCCTTGTCCCTCCTTGACATGAAATCTAGTCAATATCCACGTCAATGTCTAAATCTAGAGATGCAATAATATCGTCGTCGACAAGAGGTCGATGGATCTGGGGGATTCCCTTCTTGTCCTTCCCAGCTTGGTGGTGCTGGAGCTGCAGTTTCTGCAGATGAGGGAGCAGGGCTGGTTTTGCAGGAGAACTGCTCAAGTGTACCCCATCACCAGGCGCCGAAGATTCGTTGTCGTTGGGTTGATTAGTGTTCGAGTTCAGCTGTCGGCGGGTATCCTCATCGGTCTCTCCGCCTTTGACTACCCGAGTCTCTGTCTTGCGTACCTTCGCTCGCTCCATGATCTGCGCCCTGCGGACAGCTTCTGCATTATCCCGACGTCTCTGCATGTTAAGCTGTGCCAGCCGGTCTTGCTGTGACGGTGTCGAGGGTGTGGCCGACTTCTTGTTCGGTAATAAGCTTGTCCTAAAGGCCAACTTGGGCACTTCCAACCTATCCAGCTGTTGCTGTAACTCCGTAATTCTTTTCTCGTCGCCCTGTTCTTTGGCCTGCTCTAACTTATTGAGCAAGCGATTGCGCTCGGACGAGTCGTACTTTTTATTCAAACTTTGCATACGTGAGAGTCTATCGCTGACCTCCCTTTCGGTCCATGTCCGATTTCGTAGGGCGTTGATGTCGTCTATCTTGGCATCAACTTGAGCCTTTTTAGGGAATGGGACCCCGTCATCTTGACAAGCCTTCTGCAAGCGCTGGCACTCCAACTGGACGTCGTTAGCCAGAAATAAAGGAAAGGCGATGAGCATGCTTTACCTCAGTGAAGGGCGAGTCAGAGCAAGAGATAAAAGGATACTCCCTCACGGTTTTGCCAAAAGCTATTCTAGCATATTGATCTGTGACAAAGCTTTGCTGATTCATACCTTGCATAGCATAAGGCCGATTTTGTGTGAATCCTACAATGCAGCATGAGCCAAGGGACATATCTGCCAAAGCGACAACACGTACCTTTGATAACACCCATCTGATATTCCGTCTCACCTGTATCGCGGTTTGGACCCATTGCGACTCGGCAGTAGCAACCAGTGATAGCATCCTCGAAGCCAGGATAGAAACAGACCTCCGCGAAGCGGCTGCGGCTAAGACGGACTCGTTCGAAGTCACGCAGATCAGCGAGAGGGGCATCCTTTTTCTCAGGCGTTGCCGATCTGGACAGTTTGCGACCGTAGTTGCTAGACCATTCGACATCGCTGTGCGCATCGTCATCGTCGTCTTGCGCACCATCCCGCGTCGACGATTTGCCCTTGTTGCGCTCGCGGTCCTCTTCTCTGCGCCGCTGGCGGTCTGACTTTTCCGCTCGAGCGCGACGAAGGGATGCGATACCAGCGCTAGTCTCTCCCACTTTAGAACCACCAATCTTAGTACGTTGGCGCGACGTCTTGCGTTGGCCATCCTCAAGTTCTGCGGTGCCGGCTTTACGCTTCTTCGCAGACTGGCTGCTCTCTTGTTTGTTCACTTGCAGGAGTCTACGAAGAAGAGTGTTTTGCCGCTCACGGTCAATCTCCTCTTGGCGCCTTGCAATCAATTGCTCTCGCTCGAGTTCTGGCATAGCAAGGATTTCCTCCTTCTCGGTTTCGCTGGCGTATATACCTTCAACGGGGTACTTGAGTTCTCCCTCATCCTCCAGCTTACTGTTCGCAGCATTACTGGCTGGGAATGAATCGGATTCCGAGTCAGACTCATCCATTGGGGCTGATGCATCGGATGCGGGAGAGGCAGCAGCTGAAGATCTATATGAATGGCCGGGTTCCATGTTAATGATTGTGCTTCATGAGTCCTTTCGAGCATGTTCGAGAAAAGAACCTGAGTGTATAAGGAGCAAGAATGTAGCAACAGAATGTAGATACATTCAGAGTGCAGCAACGACAAAAATATTATGATGGTCGGAGTTGAGAGAAAACAGAAACACGTATCAAAGAGGATGGGAAGGTAGGGAGGTAGGGAGGTAGGTGGGTGACAGATCGCGGTCAAAGGAAAAGGAAGGCTATAGTTGCCCAACCCTGTTGCGATGCACCCTGCACTGGTGATATTGTAGGGAAATGCGTAATACTCACGCCTCGCCTTCTTCCTCGTCATCAGAGTCACGTTGCTGCCTCGGGCGCGGCTTAGCTGCCGATGTGCCTTTACTCTGCCTTGCGCCAGGCTCGGGGGATTCAGACACGGGTCGGCTTTGACTCAAATCTTCGGCTTCTTCGTCGGACGCATCGTCGCCGCCAACAAGGGCAAGGAACTCGTCATCGACATCGGCCATGGCGTTAGTGATGTGGATTTCGGGCTGCGGACTCGGGTATGGCTGCACAAGACGCGCGCTGGGAATAGGAAGCAGCTAGGGACGGCTGGTTCGACTTGTTGAGCCGGGCTTTTCTTCAGGCTCTTCTTCAGATGAATAGTGAAGTTGCACTTGACTAGGAGAGGGAATGCGATGATGGCAGGATGAAAGTATTTGGATGGTAGTCGACTCCCGACTCGGAACTAGGTAGTCGAGTGCTTTGTACCTACCACAGGCATCTATCTACCTTGTCTCAGCAAACAAGCATACTAAAATCTTGGCAGACATTGATTGAGCACCCTGCGACAGTGCTGCTGGGCCTTATCGGATCTAACCTATCTAGGTAAGTAATACTTGATATGTACATGGTTCATTCTTTGGGTAGGTGCTATGTATATGCCTACCTACCTATATCAACATTGAATGTGGCAACGCATCACACACCATATCGTCGCCTTTCTAGCCACGTTCTATCTAGAAACAGATATACATCAGTAATACCCTATACACTTGCTGTGTTGCTTCTTTTCTTCTCCCTTGATCTGCCCAACGCTACCCAGGAGCAATGCCTCCGTGCAGAGCTCTATTGCGCATGGTGCGCCCTCACACTCAAAGCTCTGTTAAATGCGACTTCCTATCAGCTGCCATCCCCGCGCCGCGCCAACAGCCCATTTCCACGACCACTCCTTCAAGGAATGCTTCAAGGAATGCTTCAAGGAATGCTTCAAGGAATGCTTCAAGGAATACTTCACGGCACCCTGCAACCAAGACAAGCCCAACCGGCTCCTCAAGCTCCCCAGATTCCAAACCTAGGAAGCCACTGACCAGGGAACAGCGTGATTTCCTCTCTTCTGCGGTGAGCTCCGACATCACCTAGCTATGCCGCCTGTCTTCCCACTAGAGTCGCTTCACATGCTGATGCTCCCATCTTGTTCTCTCTCCATAGCTCCGCGTCAACCAAACCGGCGAATTGGCAGCGACCCTCATCTACACGGCACAGACACCTCCGCTCGTGAACGCACACCCCCACCTCCGACCCCTGATGGCGCACATGTACGAACAAGAGGCTGGCCACTTGAGGACATTCAATTCGTTAATAACGAAACATCGCGTGCGTCCCACCGCTCTGTACCCCCTCTGGTCCATGATGGCCACAGGACTTGGTTGGTCCACCGCCATGATGGGGCGTGAGGCAGCCATGGCGTGTACCGAGGCTGTCGAGACCGAGATTGGAGAGCACTACAACAACCAGATCCGGAATCTACTCGAGATCTTCGAGCAATGGGAGGCTGAGGGCTACGAAGTGGGGGACGAGTTCCGGGAGCTCATCACGACTCTCAGAAGGATACGTGACGAGGAACTTGAGCATCTAGACCATGCAGTTGAGCACGACGCCAAGGCAGCACGGCCATATTGGTTACTCACCAGTGTAATCCGCGCTGGATGCCGAGGCGCAATCTGGACCAGCGAGAGGGTGTAGTTGGTGTCAGCATAATTACTAATGTCGTTGATGACAGAAAGCTAAACGACTACGACTGCGAGAGAAATCATTATGTTAGCGACGTCTTTCAAGTGAAGATGAACAAGTAGTTGTGTAATTGCGTCTCCGAGTTCCCGGACCGCCAAGCAATATCAGTGCACAGTAATTCTAAGATGCCAGGGGTCCATAGAAGACTCGTCAGGCAGAACAGTCAACCTGATGTAAAGAAAGAATAAAATGAATGAATGATTAAATTACACAATAAGACCTTAGAAAGTAAAGATTGCTAGTTTCGTAATTTAGCGCCCAGGTGGTATTGTAATCGTTTCCTTTTCTTTTTTTTTCTCCTTATTCCCTTTTTCTTCTTCTGGCCGTAAGAGTCACCGGCGCTTGACGACGAAGTAGGATGCGGAGCCCACAGCAGTCGCGAGGTGTTAGCTACTTATTCCTTTTATATACCCACATTATGACTTATCACGGTCCGAGCTTCAGGTTTCCCAGCATTGCCCTTATAGTCTCAATTTGAACTTCGGCAAGACAGAGAACGAGGACCTAGTTCAGGTTGATTTAATAGGGATCCAATCCTAGACCTATATTTCAGTCCCCTAGGAGTTGCATGAACTCTACGAGGTCATCGTGCAGTGTAGAATAAAGAAATGACTTTACCGTTCGTCTCGCCAGCCGGTCTGGACCCTTCTTTCACTATTTCACGCCCGACAGTGGCCGATATTGACGCTCTCTCAGAGGTATAAAATCCACCAAGTCTCAAGCATTGTGTAGACATTGACACACTCTCAGGTGTACTTTCAGTCATTCGCAACAGACCCGGGTAACACATATTGGTGGTCACCCGACCGCGAAGCCATGAGAGACTGGCTTCGCGATCGTATTGAAAGGAAAATGGCCAATCGCAGCGTTCGCCACTATCATGTCGTCGACAACAAAGCGAAAGACATCGTCGCCTTCGCGCGATGGGACATCCCCAAGGGTTTTGACGCCCAGTTTGGCGAATGGGTAGACAGCAATTCGGCTCTCGGTGTCTCACATGTGGCTGCGGAGAATAATACCGAGGAGCCGACTGCCACAACACCGACGACTGCTCCAGTCGAGGAGACAGAACCCACAGTCGCGAGCACAATGGCTGGACCAAGGGGCTCGGACCAAGAACTCTGCCGATGTTTTTTCTCCGCCTTGTCGAGCTTGTCAAAGAAGTGGAATGCCGAGGAAATGCTGGGTGCGCCGATGCCATTCTTCTTCTCATCTATCAATGCTCATCCCCCTAGGCCATGTTTCTTTCTATCTATCTATCTATCTATCTATCCGTCTGTCTGTTTGTCTGTTTGTCTTTTCGTTTTCTTTTTTTCTTTTCCCTTCTCCTGTACCTGAAACACCTTATCCACTCACCACCACTAATTAATTATATGACTACAACAGGCCTCTCACTGCTCTGCACGTCCCCCAAGTATCATCGCCGCGGCGCTGCTAAGGCACTATTGACCCCGATGCTGGCCGTGGCTGACACCGCAGGCCTGCAATGCTACCTGGAGGCTACACCCGGGGGCCGCCCCGTCTACGAGAAGCTAGGATTCCGAACGGTAGAGGTCAAAGAGTTTGACATTGGGGCGTTAACTAGCGGCAGGATGAAGGGCTTATACAAGCTTTCCATAATGATCCGAGAGCCTCAAAAGTTGTAAGGGCCGAGAGCCAGTTTCATCGTACCCGATAGTATAACCGTTCTAGCTCATCTCCTCTTCGAAAATTCTGTTAGTTCAATCGATACTGGGCATCTACATGGGTGTGACAGAGATTCTGCCTTTCGTACATTACACCACACCTGGTGAAATTTTGTTCAACTTCCAATGCCAATTGACTTAGGCTCCCGGAATTCCCACATGTTCTCCTAGTTTTATGCTCTTGATTCCCTTCCTCGAATTGTGATGACAGGCACGTCTTCAACGGCTTGCATTCCAGGTGTTCCCATCATTCACATCCCTCTCCAATCTCATCATCATCCCTTGCCCCATACCACTTGCCGCAGTGACTAGGTCAGCTCCACCATTCCCAACCCCGGCGACTCTCCATCTAGCTCTACAGGAGGTCTCCTTGTTCAAGATATCCACCAAGTAAATTAACAGCTGATTAACTGCTGGCGGCCATGGGGTCAGTCCAACGCTTACATATATGTGGTCGAGACAACGCGGCGGTTGCGTCTCCAACTGACTGGACCGCAGCGTCGTATTGGACCGCGCTCGCTCTTGTCATGCAGGCCAGGTGGTGTGCTGGGATCTTGTGAACAAATGCGACGACAATATCCTTGCTTCATACCCACCCTGCTTTCTGAATTCTAGACCAAGCAAGGTCCCGAAAATATTAAGTACCGCATGAAACTACCAGATCCAGGGAGCATCTGGCGCTCTCCGAAACAATGCCTTAGACAGATGCCAGCGCAAACCCCAGGTCAAGTGGAGTACGTTATATTGAAATTCCCCGGCAAAAAAGCAACAAAATGATCTCATTTATTCCCCGGCGCGTCGCATCGAGGCCGACCACGCATACCGAGACCAATGCTACGTCAGTCCATACGACTACTTACATTGTTACCGGCGGTGGACGCCTGACCATGGACCGAGACAGGCCGTCAGATGCGCATTCCGTCAATATGGCAGCGCTCCCCTACATTCTACTGCGCTGGTTCGCTCCCGATGTCCATGTGCCGAAGTTGAAGCTTAAATGAGATAAGCTTTCCAGGTTCCTGAGCAGGCTCACGTTGGGTACACGACGGAACGTGACATTTAGCCTCGTGGACACAGCAAGGTACGGTTGAAACGCGGTTTTGTTTGTTCTCTTAAATTGCACTATAAATAGAGCAACTGCAAAGTTTGAGGAAGAATGGGAAGATAGACAAAGGCTATGGCATGTGGCTCAACTATTCATTGTTTCTTATTGTGAATATCATCTCTCACTAGGTCCTACGATCTGGGCTTCCTTTGCCCGAGTTTTGGCTATTCGTCATTTCAAGTTTTCAGTGTTTACTAGTTCACTATGTTTTTACCAACGATACGCGTCTGTCGCATATTGATTTGTGCTGCGGCACTGATGCAGGGTAAGTTGATACCTCCCCGAAATCTGAAAAGAGAGGAATTCATGAAGCTCACGTCCATTACAGGCATTACTATCGCAGTGCCTATTCATGAGAATGATGACCTGCTCACTCCTCGGCGCACCAGCCCAGGGTTCGCGAAGGGCATCTGGCTTCGTATCATGCCCCTTGGAGCCTCTATCTCGTACGGCCTTACGTCCCACGATGGTAACGGATATCGCGAATTCCTCCGAGACCAGATCGTCGAGTACGGGAATCCCGTGAATATGGTCGGAAGCCGTCGCAATGGCACAATGGAAGATAATGATGTTGAAGGATGGCCTGGCTATGTGATAAGCCAGGTCCGTACAAAAGCACAGACGGCAGCGCCTAAGGTAGGTATTCGCAAGAGGCATCAACAACTATTCTCGGATAACATTATGGCTAACCTTATGGTTCATAGTATAAACCAAATGTGGTTTTGATTAACGTTGGCACAAACGATTGCAGTGGGAACGTGGATCTTACGAATGCAGGGAAGCGCAGTAAGTAGAACCTCCCACGAGCACTAGAATAATTGAGGCCATGATATGCTTGTAGAACGAGTCGTGTATTTTCGATCTTACAGGCCTCGCAAACTATCAGAAGGGAATTAGCTGACCCAGCAGTACAGTGTCAGCCCTTTTGGACGATGTGTACAAAGGCTCACCTCGTGCCACGATCATCTTGTCGACACTTTTAGTCAGGTCAGATGAAGAGAAGCAGGAATGTGTCGAGGACCTTAATAGCCAATTCAAGGATGTGGCGGCCGCTCAAAGAGCAAATGGTCGAAGGATTGTGCTTGTCGACATGCAACCTCCCGATGGGCCGACAACCGCCGAACTAGTAGACGGCATACACCCAAATGAGGCGGGATACGCGAAGATGGCGGACATATGGTTTGAAGGGATTAAGGAGGCTGATAAGGCAGGGTTTCTACAGACGAAAGAAGCGATCTCTGGGAATGCAGGCGGTGTTCCTGATCGGGGGGTCTATGGCTAGATATGAGTATGTTTCATGTATATAACGTGTTCGAGTACATGTTCTTTGGTAAGGTTTTAGAGTTGGCGACTGACCCTTTTTGACGAATTGAATGATACACGCCTCCTAAACTAACTTTAATTCATCTTCACCTTTGGAATGCATCGGTCTTTATGTCAGTACTTCCACAGTCTGGAACGCACATGCACGAAAGAACAGTCTGTTCTCTTTGACAAACTGGGCAAGTCAACTGACCATGTCCCGGGCTGAATAGCCTCAACTACGGATGACATTTAAAGAACCATACATACACACAATAGGCTGCTATAAGAGCTGCGCGATCAGTGAAAATATGATGATATGATTTAGAGGCATCCACTCTCGGTATTCTGCTGATGGATAGTAGACCCAGCACCTGGGTGTCAAGGGGAAGAGAGGTACAGGAAACAAAGGAGCTATAGATAATATTGATTTTCAACATTTCTTTAACTTGCCAACACTAGTGATTGCAACTTGGAGCCGACTCCTTTGACTTCTTTATAGTGCGCAAAAGAAACATACAATCGTGCCAGACATATTAGATCAGAATATAAAGCAAGGTCAAGACAATGGGATAAGAGAAATCATTTAGCTCTATCGGCCTCCGTTACCAATTAGATTCCCTGGGAAACTGACCCAACCCGGAGCATTTAACGTGGGAAGGTGCATGCTAAGATAATTCACTCACGGGAGCACTGGAATACCTGTGTTGTTCCACTGTAAGCCGTGGTGTAATGTGGCTAGTAGGATGTTATTGGAGACTGAGGATACTGAATCTGACACGGAACAGGCGCAGCCTCTTACATAAGAGTCCTATGGAAACTCAAATCAAATCAAAGTCCCGAGCCAGTGCTGCCTCCTTTCCCCGACATCTGGTAAATTCTCCCGATAGGGGTGGCTTATATTCCCATATACCTCTCCTAGCTTGTGGACCACCGAGCGAATATGTTTAACCTCGAGATGTCCGAAGCTGTTCCTAACACGAGTAAGGATTACCTTGATCCAACGGACTGACTGACTACTTACCTAGTATCAAGCTAACTCTTCAAGGGGTAGACATGGTGTAGCATTCCCGGGCCACGTGCAATAACAAAGCACATACACATACTTACGACCTAGAATGGACTTATGGACATACTCAATTATCACTAAAAGCAGGTCCTAGAAGGTACGTAGGGTGTCTGATTGGCTATGACATCCATGCAATACTAGTAAGCGTATAACTCCACCGAACACCTAAACCATTACATTGTAAGTTCTGAGTTCAATAGCCCTGCGGAATGACACGTAGCCGGCACGCTAGATGCTCGATCAATGGCTCTAAGACACACACCGCCGCGAACTTAAACCTTAAAAATTAATTGCCTAACTCGGAGCTGCTATGTACCTTAGCCGCGGTGTTGTGTCTCACGCTTTGCTGTAATCTAGCGCTCCTTGGCTAACATGCCCTGCTAACCGTTCAACTTGTTTCCATTAGATGTCGTGCCAGTTTGAGGGGGTGCCGGATTTCCGAGTCACCGGCATAGGAAAGGATGGCCAGTACAGTGGCCAGTACCACTTATGTTTGCCTAAGTCTCATCCCTCCCGGTCCTTCGCCAACCACGCCGGCAATGTGGTTAGACAAGTGTGCATAAATTATGGTATTATCCTTAAGTCGCGGGACAAGAGTTGTCCTTGTCCGAAGTGCCAGCCTTCTGCGCTGTACGTTCTGGATCTATCTCCCATTCGAGCTCGAACTCGATGGATATTTTGACAGTGCTTCTCTCCCGCTTTCTCAGCTAAGTCAGGGGACACTTAGATTGTCCCAGTACCGCTTACGCGCCGTCATTGCTATCGGGTTGTTTCGAAACCGGTCCTGGAAAAAGTTGAAGATGGCGAATTCATCCCTCGACATAATATACTTGGATTCATCTGCCAATATCTTGTTCCAGATGCTGGCGAGGGTCGATTCGAGCAGGTCACCAATGGCTCCGTGGCCAGCGGCTTCTGGGCTGTCTCGCGCAACTTCTAGCGCCTGAAGTACATCGTCACCGATGCTCTTGTTACCCCCTAATACCACCGAACCGTTCGCTTGGCAAAAATCCAGCGAATGTTGGGATACGCTCATGATCTTTAGATCCAACTCTGTTAGAAGCCTCGGGTGAGTACTAAGGATCGTTGTCGACATTGGGAGGGTCCAGAGCCAATTAACTCCGGATGTCTTGTGAACAGGCGGACGTATGAAGACTGAAGACTGAAATTTGGGTTTGAAAATCGCCAGGTAAGACCGATCTGGAGTAAATAATTGATTAAATGGTGAGAGAAGATGTAACAATGCGTGGTTGCTTAGGAGATCAAAAGAGTTTGTTCGCCAGATTGCAAACGTAACTCGAAGGCCCGATTCTCAAGGCTAATACCTAGTACGTCGGACAAATACCCGTAGGTATATAGTTCAAAGAATATGAGTATTCTGTAAACTGAAAATAGCAAAGGCCAGCCATAGTCAGCGAGATTAGGTTGTCATTTAAACAATTTTTGAATGCCAACATGGACACTGAACTGACAAAGCCGAGGTCCACAGTATTAATCGGTTACCTGTCCAGTGACCAAGTGGTGACTCGTGTATGCTGTCCTAGAACCAGACCATCTTCCACTGAATCGATGGGGTACAAGTCATTTTGAAGACGACGGTAAGCTTTAGGATTCCAACCCCACGAGCAACAGTGCTTTTCTAGCCTGTATGGGAAGTTCTAGTCATTCTATCATATCGTGGCGGCCCTAATTTGGGTATTTAGGCATGGATGGCGTTCGGTCGCTCTCCGCCGGCCCAAGGACCTGCTTGGCGTCTCGGGTAAATGGCAATAACTTCGTCACAAGGTAATAGATACCCGCAGCCTGGAAAATTGCAACCAAGAGATCAGGGCAACAGGAGACACCAGTAAATTTCAGGAGGCCTGATAAAATGCCTCGTGTTTCTTGCTGCCAAATAACTTCGTCATGGAGGTGCAACAAATAAATTAAATTACAGTGATAGGATGTGGATCTTTTGAAAGATGCCTTGCGCTACCCCTCGCGTCCCAAATTCTTGGAATCAGATCACGATCTCGAAAACTTAGATTTCTGCTGCACCACGTGCTAGGATAAGATCTACATATACCTGCAGAGGTACTTACAGCCAAAGGGTTTGTAGATGGATGTAAACATAAGTACTTGCCGTTTTGCTTCGAGCGAGACGAGTCGGGCCACATAACTCGGTAATTAAAGCTCCACTGCGAGTAAGTATATAGTTATCTATCTATACATAAATAATTTACTGCGTTTGACGATCACTGTTTCTCGATATCATGGATATTTTTTAAGATATTCGATTCAAGTACCATCTGATATAATTAACGTGTTGCCTTACTCGTTGATACCTTATGCACCGCTTTCATTCACTTGCCTTCGTAATGATACACCAACATTGTAGGGCTTGCTATGTGAATTGGGCCTCTACTACCTGCTACATACGTAGTTGAGTCATGACGATGATAAATTGGGCTAGAACAAGCGTAGAATAAAAGAACACATTGGAGGTGACTAATTAGCACCACATGTAATCATCTGGGCAACTGTACCCACCGTTTCTCTAATAATTACGTACTGTACCTGCGTCTTGCTATTGGTAGGGTCAATATGTAAGCTGATGGCAACACCCCCTAGTTAACCTAATAGTGCCATGTCACGACGGGCGCAATGTGCAGTGTCGTATGGTGACGAAGTAAAGGATGACTTGCTTCATCAAACAGGCTATATACGCTACGGAAGGCTGGTAGACTAGCGTACGCATAGGCCACTAGCTAAACCACTACAATACACCTGTACGGCCAGCCTAAAGGCTAGGACCCATAACTTAAGTAAACTCTTTTTTAATACTTGATATTATAACTAAGGTTTTAAATATAATGCATCTCCCACTTAACCTGGCCACCCAATTAACCAGGCCACCTTAATAAATTATATAAAATCCTATTATTTCAATCTATAATAACTTTATAAATATTAATTGGATGATTTAATAATTAATACCTTTAAATCCCTTGTTTAAAGAGGAATCCAACAGTATTTTTTACTATTTTTTATAAAATTTATTAAGCGAGATATTAAGCAATACGCTAAAGGGGCGTTAAGCAAGGATTAATTTAATGCTTACTTTTGTCACGATTGGAGTGTCACGTACGAGACAAGGCTCATATTGGGGTACCATCTGTATATTTATTGTGAGATGGAGAACGGAGGAAATATTCTAAGTATAAAAAGTATGGCAAAGTATTTTAGTGCGCACAGCGAAGCGATGGTCACGTGGTGATTGCGATACGCGTGGCAGTGTGGCCATTTGGGCCTCAGGCCCCAGGTGGGTCACCAGGCCAGCCACCATAACTACTTTAGCGTATTACTTAATAACTCCGCGAATATAAATCGTAAAAGTTAGTAAAGGGTACCGTTGAATAGCTCTTTTTATTACGAATCTAACGGTGTATTTTATCATTTTATACGACCAATATTTGTAGAGTTATTAAATTATCACGTGATTAATGCACCGACGTTTTTTATATAGGCTAAGGGGGTGGCCAGGTTAATTGGGTGGCCAGGTCAAGTGGGAGATGCATTATATATTAGTTTAATTAATTAATAACTCTTTTTAAACCTTTAAAAGGGCTTATTGGACTTTAAAAGCTTCTTTTTTAATAGGTATATAGTTTAAATAGCATTATATATATAATTTATTAACCTTATAAACAATTAACGCTTTATATATATTTATATTATTTTTAATTATAATAATTGTATATATTATATATAATTAAACGGTAAGGCTAGCCATTTTAAATAGCTAAGAAAAAAATGATTAAAATGGTATAGGTTGTAGAAACAGAGGTTGTATGGTTGTTGAGATCTTTATAGTTGAAAAAAGAAGGTGGCTGGGAAACGCGTCGCGATTAAGTGGGTTGTTGAGGGGCTGGGTCTTTAGGTGGTGGGTGGGCTTATCGGTCACGAATGTTGCGACAATGATCGATAGCGGGCATGTCCCCCAGTACCATATCTAGTGTCCATCGTGAATCTTTTTCTGGCGGAATTTCGCCTGCGGTCACGGATCGTATTGGGAGTTCAGGCAGACAGTAAGGCTTCCATTGTTCCGCGAAGTCTATTATCAGGTGTGAGGGCATTGGACTCTTTCTCACTGTATACACTTCATCTTTTTTTCCAATTCCAGTCCCAACACCCATGATCCTTCTAATATGACGTTGCCCATTACGGACGTTCGAAGTTCACAGAATCATCGAGAGTAAAGTTTCTTAACCGTGTTATTTAAGGCTACTTGTAAACCAACATCACAAACTGTGCCAGAGGTGTTACAATCATAGGGCTACAGACAAAGAGGCTCTGTGTACATGGTTCAGGCCTTGGCACGGAAATTTAAATAAGTCTTCGCACAACAAGAATGATTGTACTGCAACCACAAGGGTTGAAATTTTTGAAGAATGTGATGTAGTTTAATAAACGCAAGTCAGGACATGATAGGCGAATCAACCCTTGGACGGTGTTTTCCAGGAGACTACAACAGTGCTTCATCAAGTGGTGTATATATGAAGGTAAGATGTGTTTTTTTAAGTTTCTAATATAATTTAAGGGGATCTTACAGCTATTAATTTTCGGGTTGAATGTTTATATAGTTACCAAGATGATTGGAGAATAAAAGGATAAATATTTCAACAATTTAAATATGGGTAAGCTACTTAAGAACCATATAGCAACCGGTACTTTTAACGGGCAATTCCAGTTTTATTAACTTTTATAGGCCTAACACTTTATAACTAAAACATTTAATCAGTAAAAATAAAATATGAACAAATAGAAGTCAGCTTATCTATGAAAAGGTTTAGTAACGGTAATCTTCCCTATACTATTTCGTTGTGTATGTTCCTTGGAAGGCTTTTCAAATGTGAAAGTAATGAGTTCTGGTGGGAGAGTGAATAATATACGGATTCGTTTGTCTACTAGGTATACAATAATTCTCACTACCTTCGCCTTTTTCTTTTCCTCTGGCGAATGACTCCAACCTGGGAGCCCATTAGATGCGATAGAGCGGCCAGGTCAGGATAACAGAAATTAAACCCTTCATCTCTCTATACCAACAAAAGACACGAGTGCCTAGGTCCTTGTTTATCAAACATGCCCAGCTGCCGATCCAGATTGTTGATAGTCTTCTCTGTTCTTCCCTCCATGCTTCCTGTTGGCCTCCTATCCTGTTCGCTTGGGTTGGCCTCGCCAAAAACGATGGTTAGCATGGCTCAGATATAACCATTAACATTAATTTCAGTGGACACCAGGAGATTCATCACCTGGGATTTCGATGGAGTCTTGTTTAGGGTGACTGTGCAAGCGCAGAAGGCCGTCCTGCCACGATCCTAGATATGACCAATTGTTACATGCACCGAACGCGCTGGTCCCTCTCAAATACCATTACACATGTATGATAACGAGGGCTGAAGTCAGAGAGCTCAATATTGAGGCTGTGTGAAATAAGCTGAGATGGTTGCCAGGGACCACATGTACGATGCGGATCCTCCCTGTAGACCTTGGTGGCTGACCTGGAACGATGGAACCCAAATGAACAACACAACCAGCAATAATGTTTAATAGCCCCCGCCACCTCCCCCCTCCCCCCTTTTTTTTTAGAAAAAAAGAAAAGAAAAGGCCTCAGCCAGCCCTGAGACACTCACACGAAGATTTACACCCCTATACAGCGAGATACGGGCGGCCCTAAACCAAGTTGTTGCAGACACACGAACCACAGACCGAAGAGCCACGCAGGGCAGAAGAAGAAGAGTGCATAAGTGCATCAAGGCACTGAAAAGGCGAGCGAACTATGGGACACCGTCTATGCAAAGGGATCCACGATTTCCCATACACGGTAGGAAAGTAAGGTGCGATTGCACCCAGTAAACAGTGTGATAAGGAGTGTTGAAGTTGAGGGAAGGGATAATCACTGAGGACATGCAGATAAGTGAAGGAGGAACACAAAGTATTGGCAGATGAGTGTACAGGGTGATTTTCGCCCCTTAGAAGGTTTTCCACCTTACCTTATAATGAACATAGCAGACACCGGTCTAGCCAGGGGTCACCAATCAAAGTAATATACCCTTACAATATATATTACCTTATATCAAGAACGGCTGAGTTCTTCCTCGCTTGAATGCTGCTCGCATGACACAAAATCTAATAGTGACCAACAGGTAACAGAACACTCACAATCCCCAATATTCACATCGCAAAAAGGAGTGATCCTTATGTGAATCAAGCATGCCAATCAAACTAAGTGTTCGTCTAGAATGTGCGATAGCAACTTATTATAATATATATTATAATCGTAGTTTACTGGTCGGATTAGATAGATCCACAGTACTATAACTCTTCGTGGCTACTGGCGCTTTTGACGATGGAGCCAATGATTCTGAGAGCAGGTAGTTTGAGGATGCGTACGAAGATGGTAAAGTGGTTAAAAGACTGTCGATATCCAGTACGGTGCAGGTCGGACTCTTAGTTGATATTTGGACAGGAAGTGATGATGGGTGAGACGAAGAGTTTACAAAATATTCTTGGTTCAATTCTTTCAGTCTCTACTGGATCGCGGGTGGGCTGGCTAGAGTGACATTATTACTTTGGAGGATTCACACAGCTTAGGTAGTCTCTCCCGTTATTTAGATTGACTGCTACGTTTTTAGCTGCGAAGGGCCTTCAGACTGAGACACATGAATTCGCATATCTGTCTGAACTAGAATAGTTCTGAGCACATTCTAGCTCGATACCTCTTCAAGTGTAGCGGCGCATTTTTGAACTTCACTCTCTATATCCACACAGTCAAAATTCGATTCCATAGGCCTTCGATGCTGTTCCGCCCCAAATCATCTTCTTCTGCTCGTCGTCAAATGAAGCCATCCAGCACAAACGCTCAACAATCTTCTTCCATTTCTCCCAGGCCGCATCACCGACACCAACTGTGCACACGGGCCAGTCGCTGCCGAACATGATACGGTCTGCACCAAAAGCAGCAACTATGATGGTAAGCCACGGCGTGAAGGCCTCGAAAATCTCTTCCGGTGCTCGCTGCTTCAGCGAATCGGGCATCTCAGAGAACCCGCCTGACACTTTCATGTACGTGCGGCTAGCCTTGCTGAGTGTAAACATGGCAGTACGCCACGCGATGAATGATGTGCTTGTGTGTGTGTTGTAAACTTCCAAGTCGGGCTTGCACATATGATCTGCAACACATGCGCTTAGCTCAACTCGCGAACCGTCGGTCGTGATCTCCAGAATCTGTAGCTAACTCACTGATGATGAACACGACCTTCTCATCCTCGGGTACGCCTTCGTGCGCACGATCAATCATCTCGACAACCTCTTCAAGCTGCCCTCGACCACGTCGGTGTTGGTCAACGCCTAACTCAAACACGAAACCCTCGCGGCCAAGCAACTTCAAGCTCTCGATGAACTCTTCTTGCAGCATAGTGCCATTGGGCTTGTCTTGCAGCAAGTACCTGAAGCCCCTGACTTTGGGCCAGCTCTCGCCGGCCTCCTTCTCTACAAGCTTGATGTACGTCTCCATGGCTGAAGGACCGCTTGGCAAGGGAGCCCAAGGGATATAGGCAGCACATAACGATTGGTCTTCTTTGGCATGCCCCTCGCCGGGCTTCGGCTGGCCGGTGATGATACGCTTGAGCCATGAGACCTCCATTAGCGGGCACTCCCAGCCACTGCCGTCTTTGACGCCGGTATCGAGGTCATTCTTGCGATCCGTCTCGACAAAAATGAAGCCACGCGGGGGTGAACTGGCCGAGGCGGCCCTGTACTCTTGGACAGAGTGCTGTCCCGCCAGTGGGTTCTCCGGGGAACACCAAGACAAGGTAGACAATTCGGACTCGGGGTACAAATGAATGTGAGAATCGATGATTGGAATGTCGGCAGCCATGCTGACGGATGTGCAGGTGGCGGACGAGCAGGCCAATGCAGTTCTAACCTAGCTGCTCGAGCCTAGACAGGCAGAAGAAGCTGGATGTATGGCCGTAGGTAGTTTGAAACAGCGGATAGGTATTGGTAGTTAGGTTCGGGCGAGTAGGTAAGTACTACCTACATAAGGTAGGTATAGGTAGGTACATATGAAGGTAGGCATATACATGTAGTTACCCGTTACTCACATGCAAACTTGGAAGTATCTACTGCCCAGGTGTAGATATGTAGATACCTATGGTAAGTACATAGGTACGTATACATACATGTAGGGAGAGGGGTAGGCACCTCAGATCATCTGCTGCTCTTTCATCAGGCCAAGACGATTTTGAATAGCTACCGGCCAATATTTAGTCTTGCCAGTCTTCATGCCGAAGAAGACGGCGGGTCATTGTTGTATGTAGCTACCCCGCGCCAATGTGTTTCTCCATCCACTTTAGATAGGTACTTATGTGATCACCAACAGCAGGTTGAATTGAGAGATGGGCACTACCAAATGTGCATAGATGTGGTGCTGATGCGCCCCACTTGCCCGTCGCCGCTACAGTGACAAATATCACATCCAAGCTAAAGGGGAGAACTGATGGGATAGGGTAAGTAAGTGCGCAACACCCAAGAGTAGCGTTTTGAATATGAGTCCTGGGGCCAGCCCATGTCAAGCGGATAAATCGCCAAGTCTATGGGATCGGCCACCTACGTGGCAGAAAGTGGCATAGCGGAGGGGAACTCTCAAAGCAAGAAAATGCGAGAAAAGGGGCAACAACAGCCGTATCCCCTACTGTCTAGGTACAACAGCGAAAGCATTCACGAGGCTTATTGATTGAGTTTTCATCAATGGACAACTAAGAAAGCCAACTAGATGGTGAACTCTAGTAGTGAATTCCTCAGTCCAGCAGGGTCTACTCTTCCAGTCACCATTCGCTATCCAACTAACTCCTAGTAAAAGCTGGCCCATCGAGATGTCCAGGGCCCAATGTATAGCTGTTCGTGTTGAAAAATTTCACACACTACGCAAGACCGGAGTAGCTAGTTCTACTATCGGATCATGATGCTTCGGGTGCCCACGCCTTTAGGCACTTTACCTGGTCCAAAGTTTCGACGCCGAGAGACTATGACCCATACGCCGCAACCCGCTATGCATAAAATGGTTTCCCTTCCTCAGTTTGAGCCCGCTCACTGTTGCCCTCTTCAACTTCTTCTCCGCAGTCCACTGCCAGTCCCTCAACTCACTCAGGAGGGGTGTAGGGATGGATCAACATGTCGCTGAACTTCTCTAGCCTCTCCTTACCCCGTACTTCCTCTGTTAGAAGAGGCATCCGGACTACATTGAACTCGTCGTATAATTCCTCGATTTGGTCGAGATACTTCTTTTGCATCTTCCGTCTTGCGTTACACTGGTCACAATTGCTTCCTTGCTTGGGGAAGAGGAGCTGGTTGACAACGATGCAATGGGTGTCGATGCCGTATCCACCCAACTCTTGAATCATTCTCTCCGTCTCATACAAGCTCAGAAACTCGGCTATACAGACGCACACAAAGGTGGTGAGGTTCTCGTCCTTGAACTGCGCGTTGACTTCGGAGATTGTCTGACGCAGGCCCTCCAACTTTTCCATCATCTCATTTAAGTTTTGTCCATTCGGCAGCTGGCCTTGCGAGCCGAGAAAGCCGTTAAGTAGAGGACCGTACTGATTCGATAGCTGAGAGACTTTGGCCAACGCTTTTTCGAGAACCGAAGGGAACTGCAGGAAGCGGAGGGTGTGGCCCGTAGGGGCCGTATCGAAAATGATGACCTCGTAAGAGAGGGATTTAACTTGCTTGAGAACTTCGGCAAAAGACATGGCTTCGTCGATACCAGGAATCTGTTAGGAAGGAAGGAAGGAGGGAAGAATGTCAGTCCGTAGGAGTACATTTGCTGCTGGCGCAATCGGATTGGGTCCTAATACTCACGGCAAAAGCTAGGTCTTGCATCATGCCGCCCATACCACCCAGGGCCTCGACATCTTCGCCCTGTCCTGCCAACAGATCTTGGATGCTTCCATTGGGGTCTATTTCCATAGCACTGAGATTTGTGAAGCCCTCCACCAAGCGCGCCTCCTTCCCAAATTTCTGTGAGAAGGCATCGGATAGATTGTGTGCAGGGTCGGTGGAAATTAGGAGGACGGAGCGGCGGACCTTGGCGAGCTGGATGGCAAGAGAACACGATGTTGTTGTCTTTCCTACACCGCCCTTGCCACCGACAAAAATCCAGCGCAGAGTCTTCTGGTCGAGGATGGACTGCAGAGTCGGCTCAAAGACGTCATCGTCAGCTGAGACAACCGCTGCGGACATGGCGGGCAAATAACGAACTGGAATAGTATATGTCGGCGTTGGATATACGAGAAGATACAACACACATGTAGCGCGCTGTCAAATTAGGGATTTGGTAATGAGTGGATAGGAGTTGTCGCAGGTCGAGGTAAGGCATAAACAGGGCCGATGATGGAGGCTCTGCCTGATGTACCAAGCAGAACGGCGGTGGAACCAGAAAGACAAGTGGAATCGTCAAGTTACTTCTGATGCCCCACGGCTGACAGGGGGTACCGTACTCTTGTAGGTACCTACTCTTGTTGGTGGGGTGGGGAGCGCTCGCTTCGGGGGAAAGGTGTATCAGAGGTACCTAGCCTGTTTCAAGCTTTGCCGCCGTACTATGTGACCGGCAATGTTTGATCGCGAATACCAACCAAAGGTCTGCAAAGGCAGCAGGAAAGAGAATACAAAGAGCGGTGTCTACCTAATCCGATGATGCCAAAAATAGATACCTACTTATAAGTAGGTAACTGCAGGTGCTCTTCAAAGCCGACCCTCGCTGAAGCTTCAGCGGGTCTCATACCTACCTACAGGTAGTACCTATGGTTGGTCAATCCTTACAAGCCATGGTGGGGGCGGGGTAGCACTCCTCGCCCTCCTCGCCCTCCTCGCCAGCATCTGACTGACCAAGGCAAGCAAGTTCCAGGTTTCTACCTGCATATATACCTACAGTAGATCTTTTTTTGTCTTCCTTCTCCCGCGGGAGATAATCAGTGCAGGCAAGGCGGCCGCCTGCTTACATGTAGCACCTTCGGTATGTAGGTAGACCTGTATCTGACCTGTACTTACATATGTTACTACATACTAGGCAGGCAAGTACCTAGCCACTAGGCAGGTACCAGCAAAGGTGCGTAGACTACATATGTACTTACCTCATAGTACTCCGGCTTGCCTACATATCAATGACAGTCGGCCGGGAGCCCCCGAAAGGGTAAAAATAGAGCTACATATGTAGGTACCTAACCTGTGCAAGGTGGAGATGGATATAAGGTAGGTAAGTAGGTAAGTAGGTAAGTAGGTATGTAGGTATGTAAGGTAGGTAAGGTAGGTAGGTAGGTACTAGATATGTAGGTAGGTACTTGGGTAGGTAGGCGAGGCAGGTAGATGCTGAGATACTTAAAGGGTCGGCTGCATTCACTGCCTCGCGGGGAGAAGAGCTTCGCCTCCTTTGCCTAACCCGAATCCGCCTGATCTCTCTCACTTGCCCTTCCTTCACCGCGCCCCTAGCCTTAAGCCTCCTTACTCGTTAACGCTACAAAGTTTCCGACGACTGGCTCGCCTCCAAAACCCTAAGCCGAGACCATCAACTACAGAACACAAGTGAAACCAGAAGGAGCGCAAGACCAGCAACAGCACCAAGGAATTCATCGGACGAATCCATCATTACGCGTGCCACTACTACATCTCGTCAATTTGCCGAAAAAAGCACAAATTCACCCTCGTTATAAAGTCGAGCCATGGCGGGCGAGAAAGACCCCATCACTTGCCACGTGCTCGACACGTCGATAGGAAAGCCTGCGAAGGGAATTCGGGTGAAGCTGGAGGGAGGACACGCGCCGCTCAAGACCTTCGAGTCACAGACCGACGACGACGGTCGTATCAAGACGTGGCTGCCATACAGCAGTGCGCGAGAGGCAGGCGATGTACCTACATATGCCCTAGACGATGTCTTGTCCGAGGTCGAAGCCACATCCACATGGACCCTTCGATTCGACACTGGGTCCTATTTCGGTGAAGGAAACACCTTCTTCCCTGAGGTCGTCGTGACCTTTGTCGTTAACAAGGGCCAGCACTACCACGTCCCATTGCTACTAGCCCCATATTCATACACAACCTACAGAGGGAGTTAGTCCATTGGCGACGAGGCGGGATTTGATAGTCGTAAAGCACGTGCCCATTAGGCGTAGCGCCGGCAAGGTCTCCTTCCACGCATATGGGCGACCGAATACTACATTTAATGAAGCTATGATACCAAGGCGGGTACCCATCATTGGAGATGGGCTCGGTGTGAACATACATCGCAGAATAGGTCTTGCCAACAATAGATATAAGATCTCAATATTCTCTTGTTGTTTACCCCGCTTTCAAACACCACGGAGCAAATGTATAGGGATATACATTCTACTCTTCCCGCTCGATACAAGTGTCACTAATGAAGGGTGCATGGCAGTATTGAAACTGTTCAGAAACGTGATGAGGTGTCTACTCATCTTTAATGCCATAGTAAACTTATATTCTGACGGATACCTCAAGAAAACATCAGTTATCAACCAACAGGTATTCTCGCCTTCTCATCTGTAGATACCAGCATCCCTCACTCCTGTCGACCTAGCATACTTTGCAAACAGCTATACACACGGTGCCCTCGATCAGTATAGAACCAGTCGAAATCTTATGATCATAGGTGACTAATTTTCAGAGTAGCCGAGAAGAGTATATTTTGAATTTTCCTATGACACGAGAAGGGAAGGGGAGCCCTTGCTAACTAAGTATATAATCCTTTTGAACAGAGAAAATGAGTACATACGACCATAGGATCTGGAGAACGCGGGGTCCCGTCTGCTCCCCCAGAGCTAAACCAGATACCGCCAGATTAGTAGTTGGGTCGGTGACGACCAGCGAATCCCTGGTGTTGTATGTTTTGGTTTTTTATCTTGTTTGTTCTTGTTTGTTGTTCATATCTATCTCCGCCTTGTTTATACTCGTGACTCAATATAAATAGGCAGATATGAGTCGCCTGGGCAAGTGGGTAAACTACCACCAAGCAGCTAAGCTATCAGCCTGTGAGGGAGCAGGAGAGTGAGCAATGAGAGAGATTTTTCGCGAGTGTGCAAGCATAGACAACAGAACTGAAGAACTATAGTACACGAAAGTCAAAAAATCGGGAAACATTATTCGAGTCGAATACGGACTAATAGCCTAGAGACAGGACCCTCCGATAAAGATCTGTCCCGCCCTCAAAGTAGCCGTTGCGTAAGGTGCCTCGACCCGTGGCTGGGTGACTAGTATAAGGTATAGGGTAAGTTCGATTCCTATTCATTGGTGCGTTATTAGGTACAACTATACCTACTATACTGGTCAGATGTTGGTAGATATTCTACATTTTGAAGAATACATAGCCCGTAATACAAAAACTCTGCCTATACCAATACCAATAAATAGACTGATATGAAACAAAAAGGGGGAGAGGGAGAAACGAACCTCCTAATATGCCAAGAGAGCATAGGTTAATCTCTTAATGTCCCAATGGTCTGGTTGCCTGAAGGTAGTTATTATGAGAGTGTTATTGGCCGATGAGTATTAGTATACAAGGAGCCATTGTCACGGAACGAGTATAGGAGTATAGTAACTATAACTGCTACGCTACCAAAAGGTAAACGACGTACGTAATTAGGTCGAGACCTATAGTACTGTAACAGCCATGGTATTGATTTTCTCTCTGTTCGGCCCTTACAATATGGATCATATGGTTATTACCTATAGTGTCATTATGTCCTGGCTAATGCCAATGAAGATCTACCTTTGAAAACCTTGGAGAGGATATTCGCGATATGGCGAAAGGCGATCTAATACCTACTATCTAACATATACGGTCGATAAGAATACTGTGACTTGTCCATAGTGTCCATATCCTTATGCTAGTTTAACTTTTCGGTCACGATAATCGTTCACCAGGAAAGATAACAAACATCATCATGTAGAGTATTACTGTCGGAGATCGTTATGACGTTCCTTAAGTGGATAGCGTCATTGCGTCTGCCTGCGATACTGTGGGTGGGTAAAGTTTACTCAATCATACTAATCACCCATGTAACTTTTGTATACCTTCTTTTCATGTGTCTAAAAGATTATGTCCACCATTGTCATGATCATCATTACCATATCATGATCTTCCCCCAACAAGATCTACTAAGATCTTATGATGACCTTTATAACCTTAACCGATACTGAAAACAATGGTTCATTAAAGTAGCGGATAGCTAGCCCGGGGCAGGGTCCCGATCCCTGGATCACTGTAGGGGGCAAATTCGACGTAGTGGACTACTGAAGACGTAATACATTCGAGACATCGTAGACGCTTGGAAATCATGATATCACCAGCGAAGAATACTACCTCGACATCTCCGAAGACATATATAATAGATGGATCATGGCTTGATCACCTGAAAATATACAGCAAATTCCATCTTCGGATTTTTAATTTAAAGATCATATATCAAAATCAATATTATTGTAACGCATTCTCCTTTTAACCATGACAGACAAAACAACCTCTATGGCCGACCACCTGGGCGCTAAGAAGTCCACCAACGCCACCCCGCAACAGGTATTCTCTTCTCCACATGTTCCCACCACGGCACAACGTCGAAACTGACCGATTGTTCCGTAGAACCCCTCGATCATATCTTCCGAGGGTGCTATTGGCAAGCCGTTCAATCCAGAAGGTGCTATTGGCAAGATAGGGGAGAAGATCGGAGGTCCGCTGAGTAAAGATGGTATGGTTGGTTCACAGTTTGATGCAAGTAAGGATGGAATTGCAGGACATGTGGAAAGAGCCGTCGATGGGCCACGCAACCCTAGCGGTAGTGCTGGAAAGCAATGAGTGAACTCGGGTTCGGTAATTAAAGGTCTACTCAATAAGAAGCTAGTGACAGCCTGAAATGACACTGTACCAGTTCTTTAAGCAGGCCATATTTACCATGGCGATAAAGTGTTGTCTCGTGACAATATGTTTTCGATATAGTAGTATATGTGTATATATGGTTCGTGTTTTGTTCCGTTTTAAGCTACATTTAACGAGAAGTTGCCCGTTGACATACTACAATCCAATGGTTATGATCGAAATGTATTAGAAATCAACTAACTAATGCAAAAGCTAATTAGTACAATCCCATTGCGAATGATGCTTTGAACAAGCACCGAGGTGGAGGAGTGATCTACCACTACCGAATAGTATTTCCCAGTGATTTCTGAGATCGGATAATTGATACAGTCCCAACCATGATGGTATTAGGCGATTTGGAGTATGCTGCCCCCGCTCAACGCCGTTGATACCGACCGATTGATGTTCTACCCCGCCTGATACTATGAGAATTTATAGAATGACATTATCGGCTTGCTCAAGCCAAAGATTGGCTAAGTCTTTCGAGAGATCCAGTCTCAGCTGTTTGAGGACCTCTCCGGAGCTGCTTGTAGCGAATATAGTTGACCTCCAGTCCCAACCTCTTTTTATACTCCCTTTAATCATGCCACTCTTCACCACTGACTTATGCAGCTGAGAAGCAATCATAGAACTGCCCGTCATTACAAAACTCCCGCCCAACGATGGAGTCGACTGGCTCAACAAGTTTGCTGGTGTGGAGCCTTTGCCGTGCCCTGATGCTAAAACGAGTTTGAAAAACTCGTCCGCTACGTCGTAAACCCGGCTGCCGACTGTTTGAATGTCTTCAATGGCTTTGAGAAGGGTATCAATTTGGTGAAGATTGATTAGCGGGGGTGATTGCCCAACAAAAACTGATATTTCACCAAGTAGTGCTAGTAAGAAGTCCTCGCTGACGACGGCATCGCGAGTGTCATCATATAAGCCACCTCGGATGTTATCATCGGCACTCGCAATCACGGCTGTCAGAGCGGCAGCGGCTTGCTGGCGGCGCATTAACGATTTTTTATGGGCTGTATTGCCGTCATGATCGCGATGTTCATAGAACTGCCTGAGCGTTGCATATCCACTAAGCATTTTGGCAAGGAGCTCTGCAGCTTCTAGATCTTGCTTTGCGAAATCCTCGAGTGTTGCTGTCCGTTCTCTGAGAAGCGCCCTCAGAGAATCGTCAAGGTCGCCTTCCGGAGGGTAAACTGTCGATTCAACGAGGGAAATCGACATCAGCGTATTGAGCACATCTCGGACTTTCCCAGGCCGATGGGCCAAGGCATAATACCGGAGGGCCTCGCCGAAGCGGAAAGTGTCCTTGGCCAAGATATCCCCGAAAGTCTGGTGGGTGTTAGTATCATTTACAAAATAGTGAGGTGTATACGTACCTCTGCTGTGTCCTCGGCGAAGTTGATCATACCGAGATCGTTCAGAAGCCCCCACATCTTGTCTATTGTGGCGCGGGAGTTCTCGTCAACAGTGCTCAGGACGTTTTGAAGCAGTTCTTGGACCATTTGCTCAGAGCGTTCATGTGAGTCTATCCGACCAATAACTTGAACTGCCAATTCCCAACCATCTCGAGTCACCCTGGCACCACGGATCGAACCGGATGTTTGTTTACGGTCTCTTAAGCCGCGGGCGTAATGAATGAGAGTTGAGTCCTTGATGCCGTCCTTATCGTCTGGACCACTACTCTGCTTCATACCCAATACTTCCAATTCTTCCATGTCGAATTCACTCATGCTAATGAGGTTTTGGGGTTCGGGAAGTGGTAGCCATCGTCCAAGCGAAGCAATTTCTGCCACCGATGCTGCAATGGGGAGAGACCATAAGCGGAGAAATCCAATCACGCCTTCGACATTGCCCTCGAAAGCCGATGCAACACTAACTTCTACCGCATCAGCCGAATTGAAATGGAAGTCTGACTCCGTTGCAGTTTGCAGACACAATGCTAATCGATCCAAGAAGTCTTCGTCATTTGCAGCTGGTATAGAGTGAGCCGACCTAGAGTGCGATAAACCTCGGCCACGCTTGTTGTGACCATCATCCCACCAACCGAAGAGTCCAACTGTCGCCTCACACCAGTCCTGAGCAGATGCTAGAATAGCTTCAGGCTCGCCTGTGAGGATGGCATATAAAGATTGTAGATTCTCGTAGACGTCCCAAGGAATTAGACTCTCGGCTTTTCGTGCGAGCCCTGCGAGAGAAGGCTTACCTCCTGGTGAATTGGAGATATGGGAGTTATTGAAACGGCTAGAAGCGAAATTGGATCGATCTTTGCCTTCTGCGAAGTTGATCAGGGCTTCCTGTCCCGCCTTGGCTTTCAAACGAAATAATGTCCAGTCACTACTGCGGATGTCCCAGCTATCATTGATAATTGACGGGCATCCCTCCATGATTTGGCAAAGATCCTCGACGGCCCGTCTGATATTTGCCAGGGCCTGGCCGACGTATGCTGATTCACCACGAGGAGTCTTCTTAACTGATTCCCAAGTAGCGTTTCTCAATAGACGAACTGTGGCAGCAATATTGCCACGTACAAGGGTGTTGAAGACAGCTTGCCAGAACAGCCCATGAGCAGCCGGGGATGGACGATGTCGAAGAATGATTTCGGTTTGATGACCATCTAAATTGTGCTCATCTTCTTGCCATTTGAAAAGTATCTCGGGAAGAAGCGGAACTCTGGAGCCGCCAAATTCATCCTGAACTGGGGGCGTGTGGTGTATGCGAAAGATCAGGCTAGACAGGTACATAGCTTTCTCAAAGGTAGGAGCACTTGAACTGGGCCCAACTTTGGCCGAGTGCTCATCGCGGACTTTAGGCAGGCTTTCCATATAAGGTGTCCATACGTCATTAACGAGTCTTAGACAGGCTTGTGACAGGGTATTATCAAGCTTCTCCTCGTCGTCTTCGGTGCCTACACCTTCATCATAGAGTCTATTCACAATGTCTTCTGTTTGCAGAAGAACGTTGTCTGGCTCCAAGGTGGTTGCAAAATTCACGTGGCTGTATAGATCTTTCGCAAGTACAGCATACTTGACCTCTCTCTTGCGCGCCATAGTTGAGCGCATAGCCGAGGCGCGGTATATATCATCAGCTTCTCTCCGAATACGTTCGTCCGCAGCTGGTGTTGCAAACATCATGAGATCAGTATCTCCATCTGCGTCTTCAAGAGGACCCTGATACGAGCTTGCCCCAGCAATCTCTTTCAGCAGATCCTCTTCGACATCATATGCAACAGCATCCTCCACCATGGCCTCAACCTCATCTTCTACTCCGTATCCATCCTCATCTTCCTCATCGACACCCTGTTGACTATCGTTGTCATAGTCACGCTCGTCATCATCTAGGGGGTCGGTGTTGTCCTCGCCTTCAGTGGTGTCGTCAAAGCTCATCGCAAATGTTCCCGAACGGGTTGTGGGGGCGTTACGAGTGTTGTCTTGATCGTCTTGGTCGTCTCCCTCGCCGTCATCACCGTCGTTATCGTCGTCTTCGCCGTGATACTCTCTACTGAGTCTTGAAGGCTGTCTAGCAGAGCCCCGAATGGACCTGCCGAGTGGCGCGCTGCCTCCTTTGGAACCGGACTTGGAGCCTCTTATGCTCGGTTTGCCAAAGTTGGGCGCTTTCGGCTTGTTGCTCATGCCACCGACAGGACTTTGAAGGAAGGAGGGCGAGGGGTCTCCCATGGGAGTGAAAGTACCAGCGGACGATGCAGAGGGAGGTGGTGGCCCAGCAGGGGTGGTCGAGGGATGGTCCACACTAAAACCGAAGGTCGCCTTCTTGGAGATCCTATCTGGCGTGGCGGGCGAGCTGGCAGGCGAGGAGCCCAGTTCTGACCAGCGGAAAGACATGGTTGTGGGGGCCTGGGGGAACACAGCTCCTGTGAGCCAGCCCAGTTGCGCGACTGACACGTTCGGTCGTGGGACGCGAGGAGGTGAATTGGCCTCTAGGCAAATCAGACTAGGTCCCGCAGGGTCCTACACAGATAGTGCAGTAACAGAAAACTCGGCAGCGCACAGATGGGTATAGATGGATGTACTGTGGTCAGCGTGTTTTGGTCGGCAGTTGTTGCAGTTCCTGATGCTGGCAAAATTTACGCCATTCCGCGCAATCAAGTTACAAGCACCTACCCCAGAGACGCGGTCGAGCTAGTCCCACATTTCTGCCTATGGACTGTGCAGCACAACCCCTACCTACCTAGGTAAGGTACCGACGGTAGGTAGCTTTAGGCGTACCTAGGTTCTGTATGTGGTAGGCAGGCGAGGCGGTGTCAAAAAAACTAGTCCGGTCCACCTACATTATAAAATATAGCTTTAGAAATGCTGGTAGCAAGGTAAAACACAACATAAAAAAACACCTTCTACACTTTTAATTAAGCGTATAACACACCTATCACAAACGTTAAAAATCTGGCAAGAATAGGTCAGAATAGGTTTGAATAACTTCAAAAACGGGTTAAAAACGGCTGTTGAAGGTGTAGGTGGGTGGTGTTGGTGAACCGGACTAGTTTTTTTGACACCGCCTCGGCAGGTACTGCCATAGATAGTATTTACACATAAGTCTACCTACTGACAATATATATACGTGTATATATATATATATATAGGTATACACACTACCATATATTTACCAAATCTATAGGTGTAGGTAAGTAGGTCATATGTAAAATTCCGTACAAGGCTAATGTAGATGCTTAAGGAACATATTTATCGATATAATTCAATATATACCTTATATAGCCCTAAAAGATAAATGTACCTAGGTAATGCAATCAGCCTTAAGGTATATAGAATGCTACTGGCCAGTCCTTTTTATATAAGGAGAGAATAATAGGGAATTATCTAGTAGAGCACCACAGTGGTATCGAGTTTCGATTCTATGATATAACTATTATATTAAGTAATGTTGGGTTTCGAGCTAGGTAACGTCAGCTACTAAGTAAGGTACTTGCTTAATAGACCTAACCATGTATGGAGTAGGTATCTAGGTATTCATCCACACTTGAACCAACCAAAGAAATCACAACTTATATACCTACATATGTAGGTAGGTAGTTATTAAAGTATCTAAGAGTATGTAGACATGGTGAATTGCCTGGGGAGGTATTTGAAGTCATTCTATCTGTGATTTCCTACGTAAAGCAAGCAATTCAAGGTGCTTTGCCTCAGAAAAAGAATCCAGCCAGGTTAGTGAAGTTTAGCAATATTCTGTAGCCTGCCCTTCAAAACCTGGGATGCGCATCTCCTCTAGCTAGGCTTCCCAGCCTGCTTATTGTGCTAGGACACTAGGTCTCCTTCATTACTTCTATCTATACCTACATTATAACGAGATGGCAGTTCCATGACAGTACCTACATGTAGGTAAGGATGGACACCTTTTTTTTTTTTTTTTTCTCTTCCCCTTATTGCGGTAAGGTACGGTATCGTAGACCAGGAGGATAGGCATTATCTAATGAGGTATATTGGATTACATTAGTATGTTGTTTTGTAGCCCTCAAGGTACCCATTCCCTCAACCTATTATATAACACGGTGCTGCTGAAACCAAGGGCGTTGATGTGTTCTATCACTGACCTCCTTCGCTTCCTGGCGTCGATGTGGAAAACTAGGAGGGGCAAAGGGGGCCGTGTCCATTGCCAAGCAACTTCAAGGATCTTAAGCCTCAGCCGAGACTAGGTACCAACGTCTGCGGCCGCACTCTGCGGAGGCGTCTACTAATAGGTACGGTACCTACCTAGTATGAGGGTTCAATCTCCTAAGACCTCCGTTGACGGCCAAGATAAGGGAAGGCCGGGCCACATCGTTATCATTGGCATTACGAATTCCTAAGAAGATCCCGAGATTCGTGCAGCTATCTCTCCGTGAAATCTCCATTACATTAGCTCGTCTTTCCGATTGAGCTAACTGAAAGGTTATCCGGTCTCGCCTCTGGCAACATACAGCACGAGGCCCGCTGTCAACTTGCGAACAGGAGGGATACCTCAAGTTTCTGTCACTGCGGCTGGTTGAGGGCCATGGTTGAGGGCCATAGTACGTGTCACCCAAGCAAGCAGAAGGGCCGCCTTGCAGCCTCAAATTTCATGAGCACAGCATCCACATTCTCTCAGCGCCCATGACATCAAAGGATGCATACCTACATTCAGCCATAGGGTGTGCGATTTGCCGACCACCCCACCTTTGCGCGACCGCGCGCCCAGCTGGTAGACATCGGGGCGGGGTCGCCTCCGCGCCATCTTCTCTAGGTACGCTGCGACAAGCATCTAATAAATTGGTCGCCTTCGCCGCCTCCGGCTGTAAACCATTGCAGTAAATCCTCGCTCCTACAACCAGAATTCTACGCCTATATCCATTCCGCAATATGGCTGACACCGTTGGAAAGGTGTGTCTCCCCATTCTTCAAATGGTCCCCTCGACCCCGCGCCATGGCGCAGCAGAGTATTTCGTTTTGTTGGTGTTCTGGCGGAGCTATCAGCCTATACTTCGCTCGCCAGGGTGTGGTTCCGGGTTTGATTAGCAGCTAACCCTCGCGTCTTCTTCATATTGCAGACAATTACTTGCAAGGCTGCCGTCGCCTGGGAGGCCGGCAAAGAGCTGTCTCTTGAGGACATAGAGGTCCTACCACCCAGGGCGCATGAGGTCCGCATTCAAATCTACTACACTGGTGTCTGCCATACCGGTATGAACTCGCCAAGCCATATGCCGAGCCAAGTCCGAACTGTTGCTGAGAACATGAACAGATGCCTACACACTGTCGGGAAAGGATCCGGAAGGCGCGTTTCCCATCGTTCTCGGTCATGAGGGTGCCGGTATAGTCGAGTCCGTAGGAGAGGGTGTCACCAACGTGAAACCCGGAGACCATGTTGTCGCCCTCTAGTACGTGTATCCAGACGCTACACTCCTTGTTCCATACTGATTGGGCGACAAATAGCACACCGGAATGCGGAGAATGCAAATTCTGTAAGTCGGGTAAGACAAACCTCTGTGGCAAGATCCGAGCGACACAAGGCAAGGGCGTCATGCCGGATGGCACATCGCGGTTCAGGTGTAAGGGCCAGGATCTTCTCCACTTTATGGGGACTTCGACTTTCTCGCAGTATACCGTCGTCGCCGATATCTCTGTTGTTGCTGTCCAGCCAAATGCTCCCATGGATAGGACTTGCCTGCTGGGCTGCGGTATCACGACTGGTTACGGTGCCGCTAGAATCACAGCCAAGTGCGAAGAGGGCTCGACCGTTGCTATCTTCGGCGCTGGCTGTGTCGGTCTATCAGTTGTCCAGGGTGCAGTACTCCAAAAGGCAGGGAAGATTATAGTGGTGGATGTCAACCCAGCAAAAGAAGAATGGTCTAAGAAATTCGGAGCTACCGACTTCGTCAACCCTACCCAATTGAAAGAAGGCCAGACCATTGTTGACAAGCTTGTTGAGATGACGGACGGCGGCTGCGACTATACATTCGACTGCACGGGCAATGTCGGTGTTATGCGAGCTGCTCTTGAGGCTTGTCACAAAGGCTGGGGCCAGAGTATCGTCATCGGTGTTGCTGCTGCTGGCCAAGAGATCTCAACTCGCCGTAAGTAACTCTATGATCTGCCATATCGATGGCCACGATGCTAACAACATAAATAGCGTTCCAACTGGTTACGGGACGTGTATGGAAGGGTTGCGCTTTTGGTGGTGTCAAGGGTCGATCACAAATGGAGGGCCTTGTGTCAGATTACCTGGATGGAAAACTCAAGGTGGACGAATTCATTACCCACCGAGAACCCCTATCCAACATCAACACTGCGTTCGAGCAAATGAAGGCAGGGGACTGCATCCGCTGTGTCGTTTCAATGGAGTAAGAGGCAACTACCTCTCTGTTCATGTACATAGTGGCAGGCAAAGCTAATAAACAAACAAACAAGTCATGAAATCGCTCTAGATACCGTGAAGTTGGACGTGAGGGCGGTCAAGCGGCGAGAAATGGTTGCGAAGCTCTAATCATTACTAGGAGGCCGAGTATAAGTCGAAGTCCGTGTCAAGGCTAATTCGGCCAAGCACTTGTATTATATTGAATCCAACACTGTATCTACGGAACTGGCTGCAGTCATTCTAACCGGCGGTAGAATATTCCGGATTGAGGTTCTGGTGATTGGAGACGCCGAGTCCACCGTACATATCCCCATGGGAGAGAGCATAGACGAAGTAATGGCGAGAGTCGCAACTCATGATTAGGCTGTCACTGCACCATCAAGCCACACCAATTATGAATTATATGATAGATTCATCATCATCTTGCATCCGCGGCACTTGACTATGCTCATGGTATGGGATACATGCCACTGAACACGACGAGGCTGAGAGAGGACCACTAGGCGGCGCAGCCATTGCTTGTAAAATCAAGAACAGGTGCAGTCAAGTGAACAGCAGCCTTGTCTTCCCTCGACTCGCCGTTGCTATATATTTTGTCGCAAGATGAGATAGATACTGAATACATGTATAACCTTGTAAGCTACCTCACGCTAGCCAGTATTGGCGCCGTAGTGTTGGTGCCACATCACTCTTACTCCAGAGATGTGCACTTTTAATGCATGATGATCTGGGACCACATTCCCGCGGCCAACGAGTACACGAGGTCAGACTTGGAGCAAATCTAATGGTAGGCTCTTATTGATTGAAATTAACCCGCTGCTGTCTTTGTTACTGCCCCTTCTTCGCCGTTGACCCAGGATGGTGCCCTGTTATGATTTATGCGCCATTCACCATTCCAAGCCGGCAGGGGCGCAACAGGCGGTGCTGTAGATGATCACCGCAGGCTGTCGATTTGGCTACTGCTTTTTATTCGAGCCACGGTATTGACCTGTGCACCACACGAATAATATAGCTGCGCCCAGGCTCCATCCCTCCTCCCTATCTTAAGTAAGTCGGGTTTTGGAGTCTGGGGCAGTCAGATCGCAGCGTGTTAATGAAACCCTTATTGTGAGTATCAATACGGCTATAGCAAGTTGGATGCTGCCACGATAGAAACTTAGATATCACTTACATATGCGCACTGGTTATGGGTAGGTATCTACATATATGTACCTCATAGAAGTTAACCGGTCCGATCCGATTCGCTGCCGGAATCACTGCAGTGGTAGCGGCAGAGGAAAGATCCTAACGAAGGGCATCGTCTACAAAACTGGCCGTTTGATGGTATACAAACATTTCTTCCGCGAAAAGTCGTGGCGTAGCTAGCATTACATATAGGTAGGCGATGTTAACTCATCGATAGGTACGACTACGGTAAGACGATATCGCAATCACATGAACCGCCAACCTACCGGGCTAACTGACAGTACCGCACATCTGATCAAGGATCCGAGCACATCATTAGGTTGTGTAACCCTTGCTTGCAGGAGAACTGCCGCATCGGTGCATATATTCTCTATCATACTTACGCACTGCCGGCACACCAAAAGGTAGGTATGCTTCTTCTGCCTCTGTTCTGCTCTGGTGGTGACGGTGCCTTTGCCTGACCGATCACTAGTAGCGAACAATTGATTGGTTTGGAGGCCAATGTACTTATTTTCAGTAGACGGTCCCAAGACGCAAAATAAACTATATATGTCGGTGCATTTAACGAAGCCTAGCGAAGCCGACAACACACCGGCGGCAGCAAGGTTGGAAAGGCAGATTGCTGGACATTACACTCTAGTAGGTACCTAGGTCATGCAGTGCAACTACAGCCGCAGGCATGTCTGTAAATATATGCGCAAGTGTGTAGACCGCTTCACATCCATTTGGAGTAGGTAAACATGTAGATGGTAGCACTACTTCGTAGATGATTGGAATCTGTGCTTGTCTCAGACGCTCGAAAGTACGCACGCCCTGCGCAATCCTCTTTGAACTCAGTTGATGGGGGAGTATGGCAGAGCGATGATTCTGTACGCGGATGCCATTGGTCCTCGTCAACGCAGCATCCTTAGAAGATATACGGCTCCCTATATCAATAAAAGGAAACAGACCCGGAACACATGGACAGGAACACGGGAAAGATGATATATCGTCGCCTAGGTAGGTACTACTGCATACCTAAGTAGCTAAGTACTTATAGGTAAGTTATACATAGTACATGCCTCTTGGCCAGACCCCTTCTCTTTTCCACCCTGGCTCGCCTGGTCTAGCAGGCGTCCGCTACGCTACTCATACATATGTACTTACAAGTAGGTACCCCGAAATACCCGCAAAATGCTCCCGACCCCTGTGGGGCACGATTTAGGGTGCAGGAGTAAGTAGGTAGTACTGACGATCTTAAGCAACCTCTCCACGATCAAGCAACTGGCTGACGGAAGCCCTTTCTGCCTTGAGCGTCGAGAAGCGTGTCTTACGGTCTTACTACGTACTGTAGACACCAATATGGAAGTGTCTACTGACAGTGTAATACTCGCTATAAATCATATGCATACCATAGTAGGTGTTCAAAGCTACATAAAACGTATACACGTACCTATGTAGGTACCTACCTAGGTAGTTAGTTAGATAGGGAATGGGTGTATTGTACTTAGTTGAGTTTGTATGCATTGCTCATCCCCTACCGTCCACCAAAACCGGCGCTTAGGATGTCCACAGCCGAGAAGCGAGGCGTTTACTACAGTACATGTATCCATTGTATGCCGATCCCGTCAGCTGAGATACCTAGGTATTCCTCTCCATGATTAGGTATGTGAAGCACTGCGCGGACGATAGGTAAGTATTAATTACCTAGGTAGGTAGGTACAGTAGATGAATAACCTGGCCTGCCGCTTTCGGAGCCTCGCAACAGCCCGTCATCATCATCATCGGAGAACTGGCAGTGCGTATCTCTACCTCTGTACTAGCACGTGTCTTAAGCTGTGCGAATTACTACCTACCTACCTACCTACCTACATAGATACAGGGCTACTATGTCATGTACTTACTTAGGTAAGTAAGTAGGTAGTGCTAGGATAGATCATGTCATAATTATGTCCTTCCATGACCGACAACCTAGGTATCCAGGCTGTCTTCTGACGTGGTTAGGTAGGTATTCACTAGGTACCTACCATTACTTAGATAGTACATACCCAAGCCAAGGCACTGACCAGTCGAGCTGCACACTAGCCTCAATGCAAATAGCGGCTCTGGCAGTGACACCTGCATTCTTAGCCCGGGCAGAATCCGGACAAAGACCAATCTCTATCGGGATGACGATGAGGAGAGTCCCTTGTGCCCTTGTGCCCTTGTGCCCTTTACCCTGCGCTGTCTCGGCGGGCCTCGGATCACTCGTTGTATCTGCTGAAGAAACGTAGGGGTAAGTGAGCAGCTCGGCAGGCGTTTAGCTTAAGGTAGGTACTTTGTAATATAACACCTAGACCACCCAACTCCGTCGATCCTGGTGGATACCTATGTTTCTCCTGTACCGGTATCTGTCCTGTATCTACTTACTTACCTACACTTTCCGAGAACGCCGTACTGGGGCAGACTGGGGTAAGTGCTGGAAGTGCTGGAAGTGCACATGTACCTAGTAGGTAGTGTAGAGTAGTGTAAGTGCTGTCTTCATCATTCGACTATCACACTTTGCCGCTATCCAACGTCACAGAGTCAGTTGACCTGCCGGCCTAGACCCGGTTACGCAGCGCAGGAACCAGAACCAACCAAGCCAACTGTCATATCTTCGTGCCTTGCCTGCTCCATCTCTCCGGGGAATCCTCTTCTGCTCCCTCCTCGCCTCTTATTAAGTGTGACCTGTTCCTCGTTTTTCTTCTACGTTCCTATTATTCCTCCTTTGTTTCCCTTGCTGCTCCAACTATTTCTCATCTCACCTGTGATCTTCGCCCCCTGGATCTGCGACGAGCTGAGATTCACTCGCCCATGTAAGTCAGCCAACGGCTCTCACTGCTTGTCATCAGTTGTCATACCTTCTTCGTCTCTTTCGTCTCTTGGGTACCCCGAGATCGCATTCCATTGCCATCTACTGTGTTCTGCTCCATTGACTCATTGACGCTATTGAAGGCTACCCTATTCCCTGCCCATTCATTTCCTGCCCAACAGGGATCTTTAGTCACTTCCCATTTGATTACATTACACAGTAATAACCTACGCAAGAATCAAGCCTGCTGACACTGGTTCCTCCTTTGACATAGATCATATTTGACCTTCCTCTCTACCACTTTGCTTCCACACCCCAATCAAAACGACACACGAATAATTCACCACAAAGGCGCTCAGGGTGACTCTGCTCCTTTGATTACTCCCCGGTTTTCCACGTGGCCTCCTTATCACGAAAAACGAGATTGTGTCCCATCAACAGGGTCCTTGAACATAAGTTGACCCAAATCGACGTCTACTTATCAATTACACTTTATCAACATTAACCTTAAAAAAAAAACTCTGAAGTCTGCGAACCAAATCACACAGCCTCCCCTCACCGCACACTCATCAATATGCCTGTGAAGCCTCGTTGCACTTTCAAAGAGTGTAAAGCCGCAGCCCAGCGGATTGTTGGAGATTGCGGGTTTTGCGACGGTCACTTCTGCGCGAAGCATCGCCTCTTGGAAGACCATAGGTGTACTGGCCTTGAAGATGTGAGTTCTACTTCGCCCAAAACAGATGGTCTTGATAACATGGTCTATCACTCGGGCGGTTCTCCCCTCTTGACGTTGAGTGGCGACGGCGATTTAGCTGAAGATACCACTCAGTGGTGGCTTATCGGGCTCGCCGAGTACCTCTCCGACAATGACTTTTTATCCTGAGCCATAGTTTTGTGATGCCCAAACATTATTGCACTTTGCTAACGTGAGTTTGATTTTTCTTCTGCATTCAGTGCAAAAAGGAATCACACGAGCGCAACGCCGCACAACTCGAGGCCGAGAGGACCCAGGTCGTCCGGGGCGTATAAGCTCGTTTATCAACTCAGCCGCCCCACGAACGACCCATGGCTCAGCTCAGCTCCATTCAGCTCTCCGCATCTTACGATCTGGCTCCCACACACAAGCTACCTAGTTGAACCGTGATGAGGAGCGCTTGCGATGCCCACCCTAGCTCAAACAGCAGCGCAAACTGGGGCATACAATGGGGCCTGCATTGGGCTCACTGTCGGGCTTTCACTTTGCCTAAGCTCCCATCAGCCCACTATATCACGCTGATGGCATATAACAAAACTTTTTTACCCAACATGTTTAGCATTTTGTTTCAGTAACCAAAGCGCATGGCGTTATGGGATTGCGCATTTTAGCATATGGACATCTTTCGTATCCACGTGCATACACTTTTCATCTAGTCTGGTATTACTAGACCTGTCCACCTATAGGTGGATTCTGGAGATCATGTGATGGAAACCATCAATGACCAGCATCAGCTCCGTTCGCATTCCGATATGAGGGTGTATTGGAGTCCTGAATTCTATCTAGAGTAGAGCGGGCTTAAGCGGAAGAACATCCGCTGTTTTGTACATACAAATATTTCATCTATAGACGACAATCTCATTCTTCATGGGCACCTGCGTAACGCAGTGTGTATCTCTGGTAACCTATTTTCAGCTAACTATGTTCCGTGAATATGCAGCAAGTGATCCGAATCACGCGGCGGGTATCCTTACACGCTGTTTGAAAGCATACAACCTCGCTCTTCCCCCTTGCTAAGCCACCAAAAATCACTTTCATATTTAGTCTGTAAATTCTTCCTTAACTGAGGCCATCTTCTCCTTATCCATCTCATTACTACCCGCTCCACTAACAGCAAACTCCTTTTGAGCCTCGTCAGCCACCTCATGGTCGACTTTGACGTGGGTATGGCCCCTGGCATTAACCGTCACGCTCTCCCTGGCCCTGCGTCCCTCGAGGACCTTTTTACGCTCAGCAGCGCGACACAGCCCTTTCAGCCCAAGCTCACAATCCCCACAGCGCCTGCCGACGGGCAGGCAAACAGTCTGTCCCAGCCCAACTAGGAGAGTATTGATCTCCCGCCACCTGTCTTTCGGGAGCCAGCTCTCGAGTTTGACGCGGGTATCCTCAGGATTCTTGGAGCCTGCCTTTCCATGCCAGCCCCATAAGTTCGTGATACGGTGGACGTGTACGTCGACGCCGATCCCTTCCGTCCGCCCCCACGCTGCGGACAGACACAGATGCGCCATCTTGGGCCCGACGCCCGGAAGAGAGACGAGGCCTTCGATGGTATCGGGTATGTCGCCGCCGTGCGCATCACGGCAAATGGCGGCGGCTTGCTGCAGGTATTTCGTCTTGTTGTTGTGGAAACCCACGGCGTGGATGAGCTCATTGAGATGCGCTGGTGATACCGCGAGCATGTTCTCGAGATTCAAACCTGCCGGTGCATCAGCTTTGTAGGGAGGGAGTTCTGTCTGTAATCGGTTCATGGCGATGGCGTTCACCGTGTCTTTCGTCTGAGAAGAGAGCATGAGTGCTACCAGGGTTTGGTATCGCTGGTCGCGTGGGGATGCGGTCGAGAGGGCTAGGCGTTCGCAGCCCATCGTGTCCACGGGAGCGTTGGAAGCGATGCCGCCTTCACTGCGCATAGACTGCACTGCGGCGTACATCTCCTCCCAATCCGTCGGGGCGCTGATGACCGATTGTCCCGTAGCAGGATCCGTTGTCTTGAGGGCTGGCTTGCGCTGACGTTTTGTTTGTTTAAGAGGTGTCGTAGCTGTCGCTGCGAGATCCTCCGACTTGATGTCAATCTTCACCTCGGAGTCAGGACTGTCGGTCGCATCGCGCCGCTTTGAAACCCTACGAGTCGCCAGCGACGGCGCACCTCCGGGGGCTGACGAAGACGCATTGGCTCGCTTGCGTTTTCGTAGCGATATGGACTTGCCAGTAGCGGAGGGGAGAGTGTATTTTGTATCTGGTATTACGTCTTCGATATCCGTGCTATCTCCATGGCTGTTTTGCGACTTGGTGGTGTCTGTAGACCGCCGTGCATCTGTATAAGCGAATCTAGCTAGAGACGAGCGTGTGATTCGCCGTGGTGTAGAAGCCGCAAGTTGCGCCATGGTGCTGGTGCTGGTGCATATGGAAATCGTATACCGCACAATTAAAGATGTCATACACGCATACAGGTAGCAAATTCAGGCGCTATCACGGGATTTGTTGTATGGCACGTCAGAGTGCTGTGAGTCGCGATACCACCACGCACAAGTAGGTACCCTTGTAAATCGTTCCAGACTCAGGAGTCAGGGTCTCGTTCGCATTCTCGTTTAGGATAAGCACCAATGTACCGTGCCTCGCTAGCTTCTGGATTAGATCCATTCAGTACGTAGACTGCGTTCTAGAGCTTTGATGACATCACTCTTCGACTGCTTTAGAAACCTACATGCATTTGGATACCGTATCCAATCAACAATAGCCTTTTGTAATCAGCAAGCTAAGAAGATGCTGTACCTAGTCTGTAACGGTTAGTTGAATACCTACAACTGAGAAGGGATGATGTTGTAACTTGTAAGTATTGGAGGATGACATATAAATCAACCTAGCCTTTTATTCTTTTATTCTGTCTCATTTCCCCAATTCTCTTAGATCTTCGCCAAGTATAGAAAAAGGAAAAAGTAAGTCTGAGCCCATTCTGCCGCGTAAGTTTATCCAATCTCGGTTTGCAGAGATAAGTAAGATGATGTGCTGGAATTGCAGCAATGTCTGGCGCAACTTGGATATAGATGCATACAGACGACTTAAGTCTATTTCCGGTTTCTTACTTGTGTCAGGAATGACTAATTAGGTGCTACTGGATAATACAAAGGTAAGGGGGGGGGGGGGGGGGGGGGGGGGGGGGGGGGGGGGGGGGGGGGGGGGGGGGGGGGGGGGGGGGGGGGGGGGGGGGCGGCGG